CTTTAATATATTATAGAATGATCACTTATATTATAGAATATTAAATGGTCTAGAATATGTATCATTACAAGGTTGGTAATACGAGAGTCTGCCGAATCAAGAAGAGTCGTTGACTTTAGCATTAAACCATAGAAAGATTTTTAGCAGTTTGTCTTGATTTTTGTTTTTACAAAATTTCGAGTATAAAGGCTCAACCTCGTTGAAGAGTGCTTCTGTCGCAGTAACATTTTTAATAGAGGATTCTATTTCGTCTCCATACAATTCTTCGTCTATAATGTTTTGCTTTATTGTGTTAACGATCGAGTTCATTGTGTTTTTATCGAGTGGTGTTGCATAGCAACCCTCAGAGGTGCCAGAAACATCGTCGATATGTTTTGATTTTTTGTGCTTGTCAAACCGCCTTTCGATTTACAAATCATGTTATACATATGGCAAGGATAAACCATAAGACCATCAATCTCGTTCAACGCGTTTATAAATTAATTTTCCACCGATAGGTCATCATTTTCAACAAATCAATCGCAATATTCATGTGCAAAGCATCTTCATCGAATAACATTGTCAGTTCCTCGCTGCTTGACGATGGGCCAGACGGCTTTACACTCGACGTTATTTCTTCTAAAACTCTCTCAGAAGTTTCCTCCATTTCAATTTCAGCTGTATCGACCTTTTAAAAACACTTTTTTATAAGATTTTTGTTGAACGCATTAATAATCTTAAGCACTTCGCTCGAGAGCATGCACACTATTTGACACGTGACTTTCACTTCCTTTGTGGCGCAACATATTTGCCGCCGCTCTTTGAAGTTCGCCGGCTTTCCAAACCATCCTATTTCTATTAACTGTGATTTAACGAACAGCTGTTTCACGCTTGATCCGAGTACAGCTTGGCTGTACTGGGAGACGCGCGCATATACTTCGGCATTCCTCGGGCGTTTGATATTTGAGCTATACAATTCAATACCATGGTAATGCATAATATATAGTTAACATTCTTCAGCGGAAGCTTAAAGCTAGATTACAGTCCCTTCTGCGCATGTGTCAAAAATGTAAACAAATGTGAGCACACTTGTTTTGATTTGGTTTCTCCCCAGTCCTTATTCGGATATGCGCGCTCAAAATGGCCGATTCGCAAGAGTTCTATAATAGAGCCGTGACAGCCGTCCACTTCAAAGACAAATCCTTCTAATGCTGGTCGCCAAAACCAAACCAGGAAATGAAACGAACATTTCGCGAAAAGGTATGCAACGAAAATGTACTTTAATGATGCTATTGGTCGGTGAAATCATTTCAAAACTGAAGCTGGAATAAAAAAGTGACGAGCGTTCGCGAATACTCTGCTGATCGAGCCTGATACGAAACATCAAGACGGATTTAATTGTGGTAAGCACATAACACATATCCCTGGATATTTCAGTTATGTTAATGCTGTTATATTTCCTCATTACAAAACTTTATTGTGCACTTATATTATAGCGCTGTGGAAACCAAGACAGATCAGCAGCCAGATGAAACAATACAATGCAGACATGAGCCATTGCCAGTATATGTTCAGCAAGGGGAAACAGCAACGGAGCCACATAAAGATTCTTAAAGATTCTCCTAAACAGTACAAATACATCCTACAACTTATAATGAAGATATGTATAACATTTTATGCTTTCCTGAATCCTAGTGAGAAAAAAAGTGACTTTTAGTTTTCTTTTCATTATGAAATTCCATATTCTTTATATCACCTTTTCAAACTTAATTATTTTGATCATTCTGTAGGCATGTTAAGGGCACTGTAGCACCTGCTGATTGATGTGTTTTAAGAGCACTTAAATGGCTTTTTGGAAAGCCAAATTTTGATTTGCATGAACATTAACAAAATCAAAATGTGACTTGAAAAAAGCCATTTAAGTGTTTTTAAAACACTTTGGTCAGCAGGCACTAATGTGCATTTAAACAGGAATAAAACTAATTATAAGTCTTCTTTAGGTATGGGGATTGGTATTGCAACTGATGACCGAAGGCAAATTGCTCCTAACATAACCCCTGTCCCTCCTCCTTCAGTCAAAGAACTTGTTGAAACCCATCAGTCTAGATTCAACTGATCACTGTAGACAAGTGTCTGGTACTTAAAACAAAGTGCTCTGGTTAGCTCATAATCCCTGAAAGGCAGTTCACCTAGGAGAAAGAACTCTTACAACCCCCCGGACCCCAATAGTGAGTCAGGCTGTCCATACTGGATTCATTGATCTTCGGTGCACTGCAATACACTTTCTAGGACTGGAGTAAGGAGCAAGGAGTAATTTTAAAGAATAAAAAAATCAATGTCAATACCAAATGTTGTGCTTGAACATCCAATGCATTTATAACTTGTCTTTTATAAAATGAAATATTACTGTTCATAAAAGATTTAACCCATTGACATGATAAAGTCTTTCATTTGTTAGCAAAATTTGCTGTGGTTAGTAGACAGAGAAAGCTTAGAATAAGTTTGAAGCAATTTTGAACTGCAATTTTCTTCTTTTGGTGTATGTGTTAGAGTGAATAATCAAGCCACGCAAAGTAATGTTTCCTGTAATTTTGCTAAAACACATATGCCAAAAGGAGAAAATCAAAGTTTAAAATCGCTTGTGTGAACGGGCCTTAACAGGTGTGAATTACCCATGTTCTGTCAAAATATTAAAATGATCCTCCCTGTCATGGGGAGATAATTGCAGTAAAATGGATTAATGAATAATAAAGTTTCCCTCAATGATCAATAACATAATAAAAACATGTGCAACAAATATTTACAATCTAGCAGGTTGATACCCAGTGTATATCCCATTTGGAGAAGGATATTGTCTCCGTATTGCTGTAACACAACAGCTTGGAATCACTCTCCTGTTCCGACTTCCTAACCTTCGTTGTTGCCAGAGTACGTATTGTCTGTGAGCAGCATGGCAAAATTTTCATTGTTTCTAATATTATTTAACACTAAAAAGTCTTCCCTCTAAAGCCTGGTTCACATATATGCCTGCGACGTGCCTGCGATGTACCGGCGACGATGCCGGTGGTAGCTTAAAACGTAAATTATGTGAATATTTGTTCGCCGATTGCCTCCAGTGCCTCAGTTACATCGGCGGTAGGCCGGGAAAGTTGACTTGAGTTCAACTTTGCCGGTTTTTCGGCGGCAAGTAGAGGCATAATGATACAGTCGCAGGCATATGTGAACCAAGTTAATGCATGGCCTGGCCAGGTCCAGATCGAACATTCCCATCAAGTACTAACTGTGGGAAGAGAGGGCTATTTTCCAATTGTGTTGGCATTGCAACACAGCATCCACATTTGCAATACTCTGAGACATTTCCTGGGTTTTCGTAGCTGGGTCTTGTTGAAGCGGTTCACCTGGCAATTTACCAAATTGACAAATGCTGCTGGCTGATGCTGTATAAGCTCTAGAGCCAATGCTCTTCAAAGGGCATTTAAATCCATTGCTACCACAAGAGTCTGAAATGAATATATTTATCATTAATTAAATGCCAAAACTCAAGCACAGTGAAACACAGATATTTCTTACCACCAAATTACTGCATTTCACACCTATGTATAGACTTGTACATAGATAGGTAAACTTTTTTTTACATAATTTGATATTTTACCCGGCAAGGATATGCATAATTATGTGGGGTATTTAATAAAACAAATCATGTGTGTTAAAGCCAGTGGTTAAAGCTTTCAGAAATGTATGTCTGCATATACTCTTGGCAGGCAAAGTATCAAAATATGTAAACAAAGTTTACCCAGCTATTGTTAGATAATCATTTAATATCCTTTGAGTGAACTATCACAGTGAACAACATTACATATTCTCAAATGAACCATTGCTCAGGCCATTTTTTTGCGTATAAACTAACGAAACATATATAATCTAATGCACCAATACAATATATAGACTACATGTGAAGCACGTTTATAACGAACAGTACATAACTAATAGCAATAATACAAACTCACCATCTGTCCTTCTATTGTATCAAAATCCTCTTCGTGGCACGCGCTTGAGCAAAAAATACCCATACTTTTGCAGGGACAGGAATTTCGCCCTCTCTATTGAAGACAGAAGCTGGCGCAAGCCGCGACATGAACATATCGTTTCCAATTCTTCCAGCGAAAAGCTTTCTCCGAGTGCTTCTGCCATGACAGCAACAACGACTCTGGCAATGTGTTTTGACGAACAAATACCCCAAGGAAAGACTCATGATTACTTTGACACTTCCAAAGTTTATTTTACAATGCCGAACATTAATATAATCAACACAATGAGTGCGGACTCGCACCTTTGGCTCGGCTGTGTCGGTCTCTTCTGAATGTTTTATCAACGAGGCACACAAAAAAACAAATGCCGAATTGATCAACAATATATCTTCCATTGATGATCTTTCAAAATATTTAATTTAATTGCTTGTCTTTCAGAAGATAATTTTAAAAAAATTAACAACTCCACTCCTGACTCGGACTCCATTTATTTAGTGCATAGCCGCTATACTTCATATTATACAATTGAAGTGGATCCCAAACCAAAACAAAAAATGTAAACAAAGCCCGCACATGCGCAGAATGGACTGTAATCTAGCTTTAAGCCTAATCAGCGTTCCACGCATTGGAGCAAGTAACGCTAACATATGGTTCTATACCAGGGTCTTTACCGCCTCTGTTGTCCGTTCAATTTGAGGTTGGACTTAATTAAATGACTATACAATTAGTAAAAACTATTTTTGTTTTACAGGTTAAATTACAGCACAGGCCAATTATGAAGTACTTTACTACTTGTTTTGCTTATAAGCCTCTTAGTTACTAATGGGTAGCCTACGTCACAGATCAGACTCCAATGGGTTTATTTAAAACTGTTTCACGCCTAATCCGAGTACAGCTTGGGGGAGACGCGCGCATACTTCGGCATCCCTCGGGCGTTTGCTATCTGATCTATACAATCATCAATTTTTCTTTCAAGACTTAAATTTCAGAGATATGATTCGTGCCCGCGCAGGAATGATGATTTTTTCAGCAGAATTTTTTATTCTCGTTTTGTTGTTGAGTCCTACCACGTCTGAAGAATACTGTAAGCCTGGTGACCGTCGTAATTTGTCACAATCATTTCGTTTACTTATTTCTGGTAAGTTTTTCTGTTTGAATTTTTGAAAATTAGTACATTTATTAGAATCGGAGCGATCCTATATATCTCGTTGGTTTTATGTTTCCCCTTAAGATTCGGTAATTGTTGTTTCTATTCTTATGCATGATTATTAGCCTGCCATGCTGTAGTGCTACTGTGAGGAAACATTAGAAAATCGGTAGCGATGTCTCAATAGACACTTTGCGTAATATTGAAAATCAATAAAAAATTGTTTCCAACGAATTTAAACCCAAGCCTAAGATATGTGGTAAACAATGCTTTCTCATTTTACTATACTTACAGGTGTTCTGGCATTGAAGTACAACGTCTTAGAACAGTTGATAATCGACAGTTCCATGACCTGTGCTCTCCGTTGTTTGGCAAAGAAATTCTGCGTCGGATTCAATTTCAAGAGAAGGGCAAAGAAGAAACAAATCAACTGTCAGTTAACTATTTCACTTGATAACAAGTTTTCTAAGGATGGCAGCGAAGGTGACAGTGACTGGAACTTCTATAAAGTTGTGGGACCCAGAAAGGTAAGGACTTACTTGTACTATAGTGACGCAGTCAAGCCCGTCCTTTTTTTTCAATTCACAAGTCACAACTTGAAGTAAATACGTATACCTTGTTACTATTTTTCGAGTTCACCGAAGGGTATTATTGAACAATGTCAAAGCACACTTTTCACACTTTGCATCAGAATGAAATCTATACGCGAGTATACAATCATTCCTCTAGCTTATCATTCCATTGCTTATTACTACTAGCTCCACAGAATGCGATGCCACGGTAAGAGCATGCAGGCGATCGAACTATACTGATTACGCAAATGTTTACTTATGGGTTTTATGTCTAACATTTCGAAAACATTTCCGCTAACCTTCTCATTTACTAAATAGTTGTATTTGCCGATTCAAAAATAATTGCATTTGCCGATTCAAAAATTCGAAATTTAAAATCTGCTTAGCTTTCTGGTTGATGAGTCAAGGCGTTCTGAGCTATTATAATTCAATATTAAGACAGCGACTGAAAAAAATCTCGCCTGCATGACTAATATAACGACTAACTTTCTGTTGCTGTCTTTTCCACTGTTCACCACAATGAACGGTATGGTATAATGAAGAACAAAATTTTGCATTGTCAATGCGACAAAGGGGAAAAGCAAATTTAATTAAAGAATAAAGGGCATACATATACGCACATAGCAAGAAAAATAATAGTGGCCAGAAAACCATAATATTTACCGGCGAATGTGAAAGCAGAAAAAATTCCTTTTTATTTCATCTAAACTTATATGTAGGTTGCATGCTTCAATGCATGCACTTCCTTGTTTTGCATTTTCTTTTTCCCACACGCTAGCAAAACCCCACGGTTTGTAATATGAATAACGTTTAAAAAATAATTATTTCCATTACAATGAACGCCAAAGGCATTACAGTCATTTACCGCATGGGGAGTGAATTTAAAAATCTTTAAGTGCTGCATGAAGTAACAAAACATCTGTTCTTGTAGCACTTGGTAACTGATGCGTTATTAATTTAAAAAAACAAACGATCTGAAGCTTTGTCAAACAAAATGAAAATTGTGCAACTTCTGCCTTCTATACCAAAAATCCTATTGAGGGTTAAAGGCACTTTTACTATACTGGATAAGTTTCACTGATATTCTTATATTATACAATCAAGTTTCTTTCAAAAGTAAAAGCAATTAAGTTTTTGCTTGTTTATATAAAAGTTTAAAGTTTTTTTAGTTTTCCTCCCAAATTTGCATTCCAACATAAGTATACCGGCTCGGTGTTGTCTTGTGGGAAAGGGCGCGTTTATTTTATTTTGTGTCTTGTGAGTCTGAACATAGGCGTACGAGACAAGGGGACTGGGGAGGGATTGCAATCCCCCAGGCCCCAGGCAGTGTTTAGTATAATGTTTACTCAAATATTCATGTTATATGCCAAGGGCGGCATAAAATGCGTGTTCGTTTTTACAGAGCACCTGCAAGGAAGAAAATCCGTGCAAAAATGGCGGAGACAAAATTCCTCAAGTTAGTCACCCAGGATATAAATGTCGATGTACTTTGCGATTTGCTGGAGATCACTGCGAAATCGAGAAAGGTTAGTGACTGCAGGTTAATTGATAAACAAGCCTGCAATGCCAATGGGATAGTTCTAAATTGTAATCAGATTGTCGGAAATATTCTACCTGGGACATAATTGCGAAACGAGACCATTTTGTGGAAATGAGATGTCTAAATTAACCCCCAAAAAAAAGCACAGCTTTAGAAAACTATGGAAATTCGGGCAAATGCTTGGAAAATCAAGAAAATTCGATTCGGGCACATTTATCAGAAAATATGTTAAATTCAGGTTATTTCATTACAATCCTGCATAAAAATTCGGGCAAACTTTCAACTGTCCCCACTCCCCTGGAGAGCATCAGCCCCGTACGCCGATGGTATTGGGGAAACTAAAACACTCTAGCAAAAGCTCCTGTAATTTACCCGACCGCCGCTGCTAACTTCTCGACGACGGCCTTCATGCACTCGAACTTTACTTTTTTATTTAGAGGATAAAGGATATTATATACAGGTTTGTGGATATCTACCCTGGTTCCAGAGATTGCTCACCGAGATCCCGCTTGTACATGTAATACAAATTCTAATGAGTGTTTATATGATCCCGCCACTTGTCCTACCTAGACGGGATCTCGGCAACAGATGCCGGGATCCCGCCTAAGCGAGAAGAAAAATTACCATATAAACACTTCGTCCCGGCTAGGCGGGATGAACTTTTCCTATGAGCATGCGTAAATGCCTTTTCTGCATGACGTGAACTAAATGGCTTCATCCTGGCAATGTATTTTGTCCAAAAAACACGCTATCTCCACCCCCCACCCCCTAAATGGGAAACTCGCCTAGGAGGGATGAAAACGTTGCGTCTCGCCCAAACAGGCCCAAGAGTGTCTGGTCAGACTCAAATCTATTGCCCTTCTCATTGCCCTTCTCGTGTCTGGTCAGACTCAAATCTTTTGCCCTTTTCCTCACCGTTCTTTATGAGCTTCTGGAACCACGGTAGTGGATAAAGTAAACAGCAAGTAAACGAGATGTATTTTCTTCACCTGAAGCCAGTTGTTCGAAAGCTGGTTAGTTTAAACTTAGGTTAACGAAACATGAAGATAGTTTTCCACAATCCGATGTCTGGTTCAATATAAGTTTTATTTTCCAAAGTTTTGAAATAAACAAAAGTACAAATGTACGTACCCAAACCAAAACAGCGGGTTAAATTTTAACCCAGGGTTAGCGCTAGTCCGCAACATTGAAAAATCGGCCCCTGGTAAGCAAGTGCTAGTTTGTTATTGTATATGTTTCTTTCAAGATTCGACAATACTATGGGATGAACCCGAGAGCTACAAAACCCAACTGAACACCTGGATGCCCGCTATTACCCCCGCAACTTGGAATGCTTGCTGGCGTACAAGCCGAGATGGATGGAAAGCCACGACATTTCATACAAATTGTGACAACAAAGGATCCACTTTGACGATTATTAAGGTTATTAAGGATGGAAAGAGTTACATATTCGGTGGATATACCGGGTTATCTTGGGCTATTCAAGGTATAATAATGGAAACGTGCATGGTCATGTTTTTTTTCCTGTGAGGACCGTTTCCATTTGAAAACTTAGACAAGTTTCGAACGTCGCATATTGTCAGGGGCGTAACTTGTGTCTATACATTGGCGCACCCGTCAGAGCTAGCGCCTTTCACCTCTGAGATTGTGGGTTCGATCCTCACATCGGACCAATGACCTTTATGTGAAAAGACCGAGTTAATCAACGCCCTTCTGAACATCGTGGTTTTCTCTGGGTACCCCTGTTTCCTCCCCCCGGGAATGTTGACAGGGTGGGTTGAGATTAGCCCCCTAATTGACCCTTCCACTGTAGCTGTGCGCCAGACGCCGCGCGCCCATAGATATCTTAATATATACACTAGATAGTGCATCTAATTATTCTACAATTCAAAAATTGAAGCCATGATTGCAGACTCAAGATATTCCCATGAAATGAGAAGATTCGTATGTTTTCTATTTCTTAAACACGGAACTTAAACATTAAGTTAAACCTATTCCAAATACATTTTTAAACTCATTCAAATGATGAAAGTTATTGTTGTTTTTAAGCGTTTATTAGCGAGTGGGAAACACCAACATAGCCGCTATCTATATTCAAAAGGGGGTAACCGCTAGAATATTCTTGGCTTCAATTTTACTAAAAGAGATGCGCTATCTAGTCTATATAAGATATCTATGGAGGCGTCCTTAGAAAACCTTCGACTGGGTCAGGTTGACCTGCGTCCTTTGTAATACCTGTCAGCATGAAGTAAGGATGATTAGTACACCCCATTAATGCTGGGAGGAATTTAGAAAGTCGATGATGGCCCTCAGGACTAGTGTCGAATGCACCATCCTCGTGTTATGGCACAACTATCGAGTGCCAAAGACACGAGGTCCTTATGGGGATATGGGCAGCCGCACATGCTCCTCCAGAAAATTGGAAACTTTAGAGTCTCTGAAACGTTCTTTTATGCCATTTTTCAGAATTGTGGCGGTCAGTAAAGGACGTATATTAGATTAGCAAATATTTTAAATTGCCCATATACTGGTCTTCTAGGTTTTTTGTTCGTACACAACATGGTTTGAATGCATTTTCCCCCTACAAATTAATGAGTATTTGGTAAATGTATCAAATTTGGAATTCTGTACATGCAAAATTCTAAAATTCGCCGTTCTAATTATGGTCGACCGCAACTTTAAATTCGACCGGTGCATGTGTGGTCTAGTTTTGCGTGCATTTAGTCCGCGACACATGCAAGATGCGACGTTTGAACCAGGCCTTATTCATAACGGCAGATAACGCCTTTATGGCTTGACGCAAAAGCAACTATATTAATTATTTGCTTGCACATGACGTCACTACGAGTCATTAGGCGCCAAAAAATCCCTACTCCTTCATGATATATTATCAATGTTTCAGTGTATGCCGCGCAAAAAAGCCGTAGCTACACTTTTTTAGGTGGAGGAGATAGTCAAAGACACGCATGCATACGCTAGTCCGGCAACAAACTATTGTACGTTAATCTCGCGTTACAAGGAAAAATTAAATAATATGGATATTTTCTCATTTTTTACAGATCAATATGGCTGGAAAGCAGGAGGTGGTAGTTTTCTGTTTTCTATACGAAATAACGACAACCTCTCTCCTTTCAAGTCTTCCCTAAAGGTTGCAAACGCCGGGGACGCAATAAATACGCTCTACGGACCGACATTTGGTGGTGGACACGATTTGAAAATCATGAGCAATGCTAATGCGCATAACACTTGTTACTCGAAATTCGGTGTTAGCTACCAACTGCCTTCTGGCTACGTTAAAGACCAGCCCAACACCCAAGCTCTTCTCGCCGGAAGCTTAAATTTCACTCCCTTCGAAATTGAAGTGTTTTATTTTGCTTAGCAATTGCAACTGAATACATTTTTGTTGACTTTTTGTTGATAATTAGAATTAATTGCACGACCAATATATAATATAGCGTATTAATTCTTTACTTTGCTTATTTAAATATAAACTTTTGGTATAATAATAATTAAAATTTGGGAATTATTAGCGACGACCATGCATGCGTGTTTCGCTAGGTTTCAGAAACTGTAGTTGATCCATTTCATCTTGTGTATTTACGGATATTGTATAATTTCTTGATGGTATTCGTAATTATTAAAATGTTTTATTAAAAAAAAGGTTCAAAAGTTGAAATGTTAATATAGCAATATCTATCGTGAAAATTTTTAAAAACCTGACAAAAAAATAAAAAAAGAAACGCCGAAAAATCACAAACAAATCACAAAAAAACATTTTGGCAATATTCATTGTAATTTTGTTTCCGACTATGAATATGAATATTCCTACCATGAATATTCAATATTCAAGCTACTTTATTCCGCACCCTCATCTTCATCGACATACATATATAATAACTGCAGTCGTTGGGGGGTCTTCGTGCTTACAATTTCGTGAATCTGCAGTTGTGCTGGGAGGGTGCGATCGGAGGGAAGGCAGTCGCCCCATATTTTTTAAGAGTGCAGTTTTATATACGTTCAAATCTGATGAAAATCAGGAGAGGGGAAATTGGGGAAATCAGGAAAATTGTCCACAGACAGTGTCTCATAGAATCTATTGAACTTTGTTGGGTTTGTTCTAATATATATAAAGCTCTATGTGACTACGTCTCCCACTGAATTGAATTGTCAACCAGTATTCTGAAATCAACATTTGACACAATTAAACAATACGGTAGTTGATTTATTAAGATCTTTACATTGATAGGGACAAGTCAACCATTGGACAAACCAGGGCCTTTTTTAGAATTCGTCCTTAGGGGGGGGAAAAGGACCATACTATACTGAGTCAGTAACAGATGGTTGTTGGTGGCAAACCGTTAGGTGGGATGTTATATGTAATAATGAGGGGGGGGGGGCGTCTGGTAGTATTTCCCCCAGAGAATATTTGTATTTTTGCATCGATAAGACTGCTCATGTGTTTTCTGAAAATATTTTTGGCTATACAGGTGTACTAATATGAAAAAACCCGAGCAGATTTGAGTTGCTCTAAATAGTCGCAAAACAGCTATTAATATATCCAGTTTTTGATATATGTAGCTTCTTTGGAGAATAATTAAAAAAATTTCTTGAACTGAAATTTTGCAAACCAGGGGGTGTGTCTTTTCCAACAAACTAAAAATGAATTAATTGCGCACGAGATTTAAAAACTTTAATCGTATTTTGAATCAATGACAATGGGTGAAAAATGTGTTGGGTGTTTAATTACTGCACGAAATTTCAGACAATTTTCTTCAGTTTAAGCCCTAGTTTAACTATTCACGCAAACTTACATTTTTTCCAAAAAAATCAGCCGTTTTGCATGTTTAATTATGCCTTTGCCTAATTTGCATATGTCAGCAAAATTGCCTGAAATTTTGTATAGTAATTAAAAATCCAACAAATTTTCTATCTATTTTAACTCAAAATACGATTAAAGCTTTTAAATTTCGTACGCAAGCCATTTTTAGTTTGTTAGAAAAAACACCCCCCCCCCCCTGGTTCACAAAATTTGAGTTCGAGAAATTTTTTTCATTATCTATTAGTAACTCAAAATACGTACGATTAAAGCTTTTAAATTTTGTACGCAAGCCATTTTTAGTTTGTTGGAAAAGACACCCACCCCCTGGTTCACAACATTTGAGTTCCAGAATTTTTTTTCATTATTCTACATTATAAGTACCCAAAGAAAGTACACACATAAAAAAACTGGATACTAATAGCTGTTTTACGAAGTTAAGAGCAATTTCAAATCTGTTCAGTTTTTTTGATACACACTGTATAGCATTACGGTCCATTATACTGTAGATAGACTGAATCTTGAATATTCAGACTTCAGTTAATTAAGTACTTGCATCATATGTTTATGTAAGTACCACAACTTAACTCGGTCACTAACTTGTTTAGCCTAGCCTTCCAACAACTCAAATCTAGGTCTGGGATATGCGCTATCCACTTGGAAATTTTTAAAATCGATTGTATTTACAACACAATGTTTAGCCGGCATTTTTAAAAAGACATTTTAAGAAGGACAGGAAATAAGATTCACAAAGCAAATTTCAGTTACTTGAGTATCAAATCTTCATTCTAAATTTCATTTTCCTTCCAATATTTTACTTATGTTTCAGAGAAAATGGACTTTGATTTGGGGGTGTGGTAAAATGGTTGGTGGGGCGGTGGGCTCCATGGGGGTTGGGGGAGGGGATATCTCCTCAGTTATATATGTAGGGGGCACCAAGGGTGCTGGGGAAGGGATTGGCCTCGCCAGTTATATAGTTAAAAAAGGCCCTGGAGCAAATCGTTTTGCCCTATGCTAACACATGGCCTTTGAAACATCAAAGTTCAATTCTTTCCATCCTGACGAATGGAGTTTGCTGAATTTCCAGACTATCAATCGAGATTGACTACGTCCTCACACGTCAAATGTTAAATCAAACATCAATCAGGTTTTGCAAAATAACGCAGCAAGAACTATACTGGATTATCCCAAATACTTTTCCGGTACCGAAGCCCTCGCACAGCTAAACTGGATGCCTCTATCAGAACGTCGACGCCAACATCGTTGTATTGGTATTTATAAATGTATAAATAAGTATATAAAATATCAATTCAACCTAGTTCAAAACGTTGAAATTCACTCCCACAACACACGCCGCCGTCAGGATTTACATCTTCCACGCTCGCGTACTAACTGGGGAAAACAACGCTATATATATCAAGCAGTCGTTGATTGGAATAACCTTAATTTAGACCAAAGACAATCGAACAATCTGACTTCTTTTAAGAACTCTATATAATAACTCTATATTAATTTAGACCAAAGACAATCGAACAATTTGACTTTTTTTAAGAACTCTATATACGATTTTAACTGATATAATTTTAAACATACTTTTTTATATATGCTATTATAATGTAGTTTTATTTGTATTTTAATTGATATCGTAGGACCTGCCTGAAAATCACCTTGTTGTGAGTGTAGCTTCCTACTGAAATACTGTTATAAATAAATGCTAAAAACGTTTATCTCATCTCGTACTTCGTTCTTGAGATATTTAACAATTTTTGATAGGCATAACTTTTCGAAAAAAACTTCAAGATCGATCTTGGGATATCATGGATCGAAATATGTGTTGTATGCAGTGAACTGTAATGGTTGTATATCGTCAAATTTGTTGTAAAAGTTTTTCAGAAACCCAATTATGCATTTTGACGTCATAGTGAAGATAATCATAGTAGGAAGGACTAGTAAAGTATCTTATCTGGTCATTTTGTACTAATTTTCTTTACTAAGCAATACTAAGAAAATGATGTTAATACATGTGTGAAATGTAAGAAATCAATCATGCACGCAGGGTGGGCGCTAGACCTCTTTGAATGGGGGACTGTAACTGATATTTGCCGAGTTATGAAATTTTGCCGAGTCACTCCAATCGCTAGCTAATTAATATTTCTTTTCCATATTATTCATCTTATTTTGGGTTAAACTACCGTTTTTCGTTCCATCATTCCTTAATGTTCTCGTAAATTTCTCCACATTTTATTAATTTTTATAAACTGATAACATGTATATAACGCGTGCTCTGATTGGTCTAGCCTGGTCGAAACCTGTGTTTGGATCAGGCCATCCAAACAAATTTAAAGCGAAAGTTTTTTGAAGCGAAATTTTAACACGGAAAGTTGTTATTTTATAAAACAATTACTTTATGGTTTCCGTGTTTCGGATGGCCTGATCCAAACACTTGGGAATGTTGCTTGAGTTAAGAAAACCGCGCAAATCACTCGCCTTCGCGCGCTTTTCTTAACTCTCGCAACATTCCCGCGTGTTTGGATCAGGCCATCCAAACATGGAAACCATAAAGTAATTGTATAGTTATCAGTGTCACTCAAATATTTTATTTTTTTCTTCTATCCAAATTCATGTTTTATCGACTATGAAAACAATTTTCCGACTCGGATTCAATATTTTGCCGACTATTTTGCCCCCCCCCCCCCTAGCGTCGCCCCTACATGCATGAATTTTTCACGCAGTAAAAATGTAGTCCTAACTCCTAACCAGTAAATATTTGTGCAAGATGAAGAACTTACTGTACCCATTTCTGTGTGCAAGCAGTCCAGATTTAATATAGAGCTCACTGTTGTTTATGGAAAATATCACATGATGCAAATGCACCAATCATAAGCATATATTCACAAAGAAATATAAATAACAAATTTATCATGAACATCATACCATGTTTGTTAATTTACGTTTTTCATCGTCTTTAAAACACCGATTTTCTTAATCATTGTGAAATATGGCAATTTACATCGAAAGATAAACATACAGCGAATATTGAATTAACGGGTATTATTTAACAACGGCTTATAAAAGGGTAAGTAATTACGTAACTTTATATGCTACAGAAACACACATGAAAATATATCTATATTACTTTAGTATAAACTTTCACTGATATTTAATAGTCGTTTATATGACGATATTTCAACATTTTGTTTTACTTCGTTAGAGGAGCCTGTTGTGTGTTCAAGAACTATATGATTTACTCTATATTTGTGTAGAACTATCTTACTATCATCCATTTTTGTCATCCTTTCTTAGTTTCTGTGACTCTGCCTAGTGTTTTTGTGTTTTAATATATCAGAATGCACAATATATGTCTCAACAATATATTTATCAGAGATTCAGCGTTCATTCTGCTCTTTCATTGGTTGTTAGCCATGATCTGTTACCGAACATATGCACAGATGACACCATTTCTATGACATTATAAACTATAGCTGCAAATGGCATCATCTGCTCTCAGGAGCCAATCACAACCACTCAGGAGCATCACGAACCAATGGCATGCTTTGTTTTGGCATTAAAACTTCTTTCTATCTAATGAACCAAAAACCAATATTAAAATAGAAATACCGATAATATTGATATTTTAGTATTTCTTCACTCTGGAAGTCATTTTTCAGAATTTTCACCTAACTAATTGGGCAATACATTGACATCAGCCAAAAAGCAATGAGTTAAAAGAGGCACATCAGTTGTGTTGCTGACATATTTACATAAGCGTATGGCACAATTTATAGTTTATACAGAAGAAAGAAACAGCTTTATGACTGAAAACTCTTTCAGAGTAAGTGGATAAGGAAATTGATCCACTATTACAGGTAAACTACGTGAAGCATTCCTCTTTTGAGTTCCCAACTCATTTGGAATTTTCATAATCTGCTTTGCAAATTTGAAAAACGCTTTGCAAATCCTTGAGGGAATTTGCAATTTTCCTGTCGGCCTTTGCAATATTCCAACGCAAATAAAGTTCCTTTCAAATTTTCCTAACTTCCTGTTTTAATTTCCTGACTTCCTGTTCTCTTCTGAGCGTTATCATTGGCGGATTATTTTTGTTAGCCAATTAGAATGCGAAGAACAGAACAGGAAGTTAGGAACTTGTAACAGGAAGTTAAGAACTTCTAACAGGAACTGAGGAAAATTTATTTGGCTCTTGAACATTGCAAATTCCCTCAAGGGATTTGCAAGGGAGTTTTTCAAATTTGCTAAGGTAATGAGGAAAATTGCAATCAAGTTAGGAACTTAAAAGAGGAACGCTTCACGTAGTTTACCTGTAATATAATTACATGTAATACACTGCTGTGGGGATACAGAAAATACCAATAACTGATATTTAAAAATCATCACTATATATATTTCTGATCAATACTCTTATATTGCAACAACCAAGTGAACCTGTTTCTGTTGTGCTTTATAGCCATCATGCAAGCTTTTTGGTGATTATAATTCAAAACAAATTAGATAACATTTTGCCATTTGAACGTGTTAAGAATGTTCACCAATGATGATTTCTCATTGCATATTGTGGACCACTTATTTGTTTTTAACACTACAACTATAACTAACAGTATCAGTAAATGGACAGACAATGGCAAAATGCTCTTGAACTGTGCCAGTGTAGGTTAAGCAACGATAACAAGACAGAGCGCTCTATGGATTGAGGGAGATGCAATTACTCCCTGAAAAATATAAGCAGAACTTCTATGTTTCGAGCCCTTTGTTGAGAAGCTACTATAACTACATTATCTTTGCCACTACTACTGTAACTTCCTGATGAAGGACCTTCGCTCAAACGTCAAAGTTCTGCTTATATTTTTCAGATAGCTGTATCTTTCTCAACCTGTGCAGCTGTTTTAATGGTAAAATGCTATCTATTTGTCAAATAGATTCAATTATGCATAATTTTATAACATATGGGTGAAATTTTCAACATGTATGCTGAGGGTTTCATGTCCGTTTAAGGCTCTAAGTTATGCGAATCATAATTAATCATGTCGATTAGCCCACACAGAACAGATTGTATAAGACTACAGTATGTTGACACTACACAGGAGCAAAAGAATGCCAGCAGAATTTATATGTGTTTACACTGTTACAGTTTGTTTACAAAGACGAGAAATTTATTAAACAAAAAGCATTTGAATTAATTTTACTGTTTTGGGACCTCAGATACTGGGTTTGCAAGCGATACAAAAAAGTAACAGCGCTTTTGTTCACATGAAGCCGCCAAACGCTCCATTTTCATCACACTCCGTTTAGAAACCGTGCTCAAATTGTTACGGCAATAGTGACGTTTTCAAACAATTTCGTTCTATCTTAGTGTGAATACGACGGCTAATTGTGACTTTTTTGCAACACTAAAATGCGTATGTTGTGGCATCATTGGCATACTTTGTACAGAATCATATATTGCTTGCTATATAGCAGCTAACTTTACTCTTTAACTTAAGTTTTGTTCCATATTCATTATTTAATATGACAATTACGTTATATGGGGGTGCATGATTGCATGCTTGTCACTTGCCCCTAAACAATGCTTGTGAATTGTGATACCGGGGCATAGGAAGCATCTAAAAGTTGGGGGGAGGGGGCGGGCTTTGAGTGGCACTTTTCGAATGAAAAAGGGCACCTAAACATTTTTTCCCAGAAAAAATGTTTCCACACATACCAAAAATTTTTCCGGAGATTTCTATCACATTTTTTCCCCAAAATGAAAAAAATTTTCTGAACATACCAAAAATTTTTCCAGAGATTATACCATACAATAATACAATAATTTATTGAACTTTCCCCAACGGGGCTTTTCGGAGCCAATTAACAATTACAAAAAATTATAAGATATACTAACATGAAATTCTAACCATGTATTATTACCAGACTTTTATATAATTGTGTCTGCCACAGATTTTGAAGATATGACAAGCACAGTATACCACCCTTTTTCAATATGGTGTGATCATTGGATCATGTCCTAATTAGAAGTCACCAATTTACAGGAAACATTGTTTTTAAATTTTCTAACAAGGATCCTACCATACACGCCCCCCCCTTTTATAGGACCTCTCTGAAAATAATTTTATGTGAGATAGTTCTACAGTACTAAAATATTGTCATATTGTAAATAAATACCATAATATATCTTTATTATATACAGGGATACATTGTCTGTATATATATTTTACTGTATCAAGCCAAAAACCACTCACATGCATTATTGTGGTTAAAAATGTCTTATATGAATCAAAACATGATGAGGATGAATTTGTCATATTTGATTTTATTCCAAAATCATTATCAAATTCCATCTACACGAGCAAATTTTTGTTTGCCTCATAAAAACTGGGCACGCCAGTTTTCCAGCAAATACATCTGCCACATAGAATTTGGGCAAATTCTCAAACATGCATAGAAAAATTGTCATAGAAAAAGTGTCACAGAAAATTTGCTGGGCTTAACTAAAGATACAATATACACAAGAAAGCTTTGGATTGATAGAGATGCAACTACCTGAAAAATACAAGGAGAACTTTGATGTTTCGAGTGAAGACCATTTGTCAGGAACATGGGCGTACCGGAAGGAAAAATTAGGGGGGCCGAAAGAAATTTGCCCGACTTTTTTGCATTTTGCTCGACCAGTGCCGAAAAAAATTTTTTCCAGAACAAATTAATTTTGGCACTGAACAATTTCGGAACAAATCAATTTTCGCCGAAAAAATTTCGGTCAGTGTACCATTTTAGGGGTCCAAAATTTTTTCGGACATCCCAAAATTTTCGGACCATCATACAAATTTTCCACACATCACAAAATTGACCAAGGGAGCACGGCAGTATTGTTTTCGAGACTTTCGTACCTGTATATGGCTGTAAAATCTCTGAATAGGTAGTCTTTGTCTTCTTTGGTTCGCTAATTTGCATATAAACACTAAAACACTGTTTTTAAATTCGTAAACAAGCCAACAATTTCTTTATATTTTCGTATTTTTACATGGTCGTCCGCTGTACATTGTATCGCATGTAACGGTTTTGTAAATACGCGCGAAACCTACAATAAGAAATAGAGGGGAGTGAAACTGTGGGCACGTGATCAATATTAACCAATAACATTTCGGGATTTGAGAACCGCTTTCTCCAAGGTTTGTAGCAAAACCAAATGCTTATACAATCAGATTAGAGTCGACTGTAAAAGCCTACCAAAAACTGATTTGTTCACAAATCGTAAACATTTCAACTCTGATTTCTTTTTAAATGTATTATATCATGCTTCTACTTCGAGAATATTGCCCATGGCATGTTTGAGAGTGGTAATAATATAAATTTTGTCACTATTTATCAAACTGTGAATTGCGATTTTTACGTATAACGTATTAAATACCGAATTATTCCCATTTTAGTTTATTGTATGCTGGTTTTATATGGATAATTTCACATTAGAATATTTGAAAATGGCTTTAATGTTATAAAATAACACAAAATATAACAAAATCATGACGAAATGTCGAAAATGTTTAGCCTGTTTAGTATATTAATGTACTGAAATATGATTTAAAAAAGACAAATATATGGCATACTATACGATCAACCACAGTTTGGATTAACTATGGATCAACTCACGTTAAAAACATGTGAACTGAAGCCAAGATTGCATAATTCCATAATTATATCTAGCAGTGGCCTGTGCCTAGCAACGGTTGCTGTGCCTAGCAATTTGCTACAGCGTCTGTCCACAGGCGGCCCAATCTCGCAAGGGTCAGTATAGACTTTATATAGTATGAATGTATATTATATTAATGTATATTATAGTAAAAATATGTCGTAAAATATAAATTGTAAAATGAAATTGACTTGCCTATTTGATAGTGTGTGTTCTCATTTTATTCCTCCTTTGTTGGACTAATATTTTCCAAGACTTTGTACTCGATGTTACTAGTATACATGAAACATGATAAAGGCTAACGATTCCCGATCGTCGATACGACGGCACGGCACTTCGAATCGAAAATTTTCACACTCAAATCGCTTCATTCTCCAAACAAATTCGCCAGCATGTACAACAAATGCCGTTCTTCGAAAATACAGAGATATTTCGGCGAGATGTACAAGTTTTGGACCATATTTTAACAATGGAAATCAAAACCCATTTTATATTAAACTTACCCGGACCGAAAATTACTACGGCGAACGTCTGCGCAACCAGGCCTCCTTTACCGTTGGATTTACAGGGGGGGAGGATGCCACTAATATATTCACGATAATATTTCGAATTAAAGTATCATATTCTACCATACTTTCCAACAAAGAGCCGCTGTATATTACTTCTTCCTTAAATTTCTTCAATCTCCGTCGTTTAATTTTCTTTTCTAAGACAACATCTCGAGTTTTATACAGTATCCGATCGAAGGAGTTTTTATTTTGAATATCAAATTTCAAATAATGTAAACAGTCGCTACGCGGCCGCGATTGGCTGGCTGTTACCGGAAATATCTGCTTCCCCCCGTGTAAATCCAACGGTAAAGGAGGCCTGGTTGCGCAGACGTTCGCCGTAGTAATTTTCGGTCCGGGTAAGTTCAAGATAAAATGGGTTTTGATTTCCATTGTTAAAATATGGTCCAAAACTTGTACATCTCGCCGAAGTACCTCTGTATTTTTGAAGAACGGCATTTGTTGTACATGCTGGCGAATTTGTTTGGAGAATAAAGCGATTTGAGTGTGAAAATTTTCGATTCGAAGTGCCGTGCCGTCGTATCGACGATCGGGAATCGTTAGCCTTTATCATGTTTCATGTATACTAGTAACATCGAGTACAAAGTCTTGGAAAATATTAGTCCAACAAAGGAGGAATAAAAGGAGAACACACACTATCAAACAGGCAAGTCAATTTCATTTTAAAATTTATATTTTACGACATATTTTTACTATAATATACATTAATATAATATACATTCATACTATATAAAGTCTATACTGACCCTTGCGAGATTGGGCCGCCTGTGGTCTGTCGAAAGATTTTACCGGATGTGCCCACAGTTTCACTCCCCTCTATTTCTTATTGTAGGTTTCGCGCGTATTTACAAAACCGTTACATGCGATACAATGTACAGCGGACGACCATGTAAAAATACGAAAATATAAAGAAATTATTGGCTTGTTTACGAATTTAAAAACAGTGTTTTAGTGTTTATATGCAAATTAGCGAACCAAAGAAGACAAAGACTACCTATTCAGAGATTTTACAGCCATATACAGGTACGAAAGTCTCGAAAACAATACTGCTGTGCTCCCTTGAATTGACCACAAAATTGACAGAATTTGTCCCATTTATTTTTATAATAAGCCAATATTGCCCGACTGTGGAGCGAATATTGCCCGACTGGCTTTGTTTGCACAAAAAACGGGGGGGGGGGGGCTGCCCCTGCCCCCCCCCCCGCCCGGTACGTCCATGATCAGGAAGTTAGTAGACGAAGGAGTTCCCCTTGTATTTTTTCAGGTAGTTGCATCCCTATGATTTCAAAGCTTTATTATTGCCACTACAGTACCTACACTACTGCAGACTGTTCAACAAATATACACAATGTCTGCTAACAATTGTTTGCAACTTTTTCTAATCACTTGCTATTTCCAAAACCAATACTTTTTGTGTACATGCACGTGACTATCCTCTCTTCCACTCGTTCATTTAACATACCTTGCAAACAAACAGTCATACTGCTATACAATTTTGCACTTTCATCCGCATCCTTTCCAAATTGCCCCTGACAATTCTTCCCTTATACATACCATATTCGGTTTATGAATTTTTAACACTTTCACTCTGGTGTATTCTTTCCCCCATATCATCACATGTCATTGTCAATTATCAATTATTAGCAAGGCCACAGAGTAGAGACATACAGAGACGTAACTGACCATTGTAAACACTGCGGGAAATTACGTTATCATGTACCCACTTTTCAGGCGACCGTGCGAAAAATATCAACTGCGCGTGCTCAGCAAGTTTAAAGTGAGTCATCATCAGGTCGTCATCCAATCAGATGCATGCATCTAGTAACTTGCCGAGCATGCGCACAAAAAAGTGGGTACACTAGTTACGTCTCTGTACTGTATGTCTCTACTCGGTGGTAAAGCCCCGGTCAAACGAGAATGTAAGTTGATAAGAGTTGACAATCACGCAGTGTTGTGGGGGACATTTCCAGCTCTCGAGTAACAAAATAAAGGTATGATGAGTATTCCAACTATGTTTTACTTAAAGTGCCTATGACACGAAATTTCACCCCAAAGGTTTATCGTTGCATTGTAAAGATCACTTAAAATGACTTAATAATTTCTTTTATAGAATTTTGGTAACTTGCTCCCTTTTTAAGATATTCAACTTTGTTTTATATGCAAATATCACCGGTGTGACATCACATTACATAATGAGTTCTCAGAAAAGTATAGTTTTCTTGACGAATACGTATCTAAAAAACTTAAAAATTACCCTTGTATATGTATTAATTTCATAACTGGTAATTAACCCTCTGTATTTGTTTGTAAAAATATTTTATCAAGGTAAAATATTGCGTTTTCAAAATGTTATTATGCGATGTGATGTCACACCTGTGATATTTGCATATGAAACAAAGTTGAATATCTTGCAAAGGAATCAAGTTACCAAAATTCTATAAATGAAATTATTAAGCCATTTTAAGTGATCTTTACAATGCAATCATAAACATTTGGGGTGAAATTTCGTGTCATAGGCACTTGATATAGAATACACGATAGTATTGGGAAAGCATTACAACAGCTAACGAATGTCGCGTGACTGCCATCTCTCAGTACTCTCATGTACTCTCATCCTCGTGTGATCCAGGCTTACGTCTGAACACTGACATCTATCTGAACCAATTATGGTATGGATTTAAAGGCCGGTTTCCATTGCAGTCGCTTTGCCCCCGCGGGCGGAGCGGGCTTTGAAAATCTGCTCATGTGGACGTGACGGGCGTCAAAAAACAATGAACGCTTCGCCCGCGCGGGCAAAGCGAACGTTAATGGAAAACGGCCTTGACTAAAAAAAAGTGAACCCTTTCGAATTCAAATTAGCTATAACGTATTGTAGTAATTCAACAGCTCTAATTGCTTTGAATTAATGATTGGGTAAGAGCACAAGGTCTTGTACTCATGGGACAAAACTCAAAGAAATAAAAATTAGAAAATTTAAAAGAAATACAGTATTCCTTGTGTTCTTACCCAACCATTAATTCAAAGCAATCAGAGCTATCAAATGACTACAATACGTTATAGCTAATTTGAATTTAAAAGGGTTCACTTTTTTGAGACACGCTGCATGTAGAGCGCTGTGGAGTACACTTCGCGTGCTTGGCAGAATATTAGGGAGGCTGCTCCATTTACTGTTCGGAGTATTCCGGATTTTCGAAACACTAATTGAATCGAACCGAAAACGGTCACATCACTATTCTGACTGCCCCTACTCAAAAGTATGGGCAGCCAGAACTGTCATGTGACTGTCAGAACAGTCATGTGACCATTATTGGTTCGATTTAATTAGTGTTCCGAAAATCCGGAGTACTCCGAACAGTAAATGGAGCAGCCTCGGGGAGTTTACGATCTACGACACGCCGGCTCGACGACGCGCTTTCAAAACAAAGAAATTTGTCATGCGAGACAAAAACAGTGAATAATTCGTGGTCCCAGGGGTATTCTCAACCGCGTTGTCATTCTCAACACAACGTTAAACAAGATTATTACGTCTTACAGGCGACGTGAAGGCTTAATGCAATCCAAGAGGTGTTACAGCAAACATTGCATCGCTTTAGCCGAACGTAGCAGTTTGTAAGGTTAATTGAAAAAGCGTCAAATATTTTTAATACATGCAGTGATCAAATTACCTAGCGCTCATTCTTGAGTTGAAATTTAGACCGCGTCGTAGATCGTAAACTCCCTAATGACTTGATCACGCCCTGAACAATCCGACTTCGCTGACAGCTCGCACCAACACTCCAAAACGCACGTGGTTAACTTACTATTAACTTAACCTAATTAAATTTTATATTTTTACCATGATTTGCTTCCACATTGTTGCTTTCATATTTATCATACCGTTAGTTCTACTCCCAGCGTCCCCAGTGCTCACACATGCAATAATACCAGTATCGTATACACTGGCGGTCTAAAAGAACTGCTCAAGTTAGAAATCCACTTCTCTATATTGTATATATTGCATCTTATCGATATGTTGGAGTGATTTCGCCGTTGTTTTCTATTTTTTCTGTATTTTGTACAAATACTCAGTGTTCGCATCCTGTGATGTTTAGTGGATTTCGAAATACCATCGTCACCATACTGTAATGAGACAATAGGCCATTTCCGAATTACGATCGAATGCCCACCAACACCAGCGTGAGAAAGAATTGTAATGATGTGTCTATAGACTTGGTGTTGTTGGTCTATGTACCTATAACATGACGGTCAATGTCTACTTTCTGATTTTTATCAGAACACGTGACAGCTATCTATATGTACAAATGAGAATTGGATTTGTCTTCCAAAATTCGGCTTCAACTTTGTTTTCGAGGTAGCGTTTCAGTTCTTTTGAGTGCAATCTTGTATTTTTTATATGGCAAGTTTTTACTCGTTGATCTCTCCTTTCAAATTTCTCCACAGCCGCCTGAACATTATAACATGCAGTGCCTTATCATACTTCTCAATCTTTTACAACAGGAAAGATGAGTGATGCATTTATTCCTGTTGACTTGGACAAACTGCTGGATGACTTTGAAGAACACGATTCCTCACCTTTGGGTAAATGTGAAGTGTCTTTTAAATCTATTTACAGTATATTATCTATTTGCATCTCATAATAAAGGCTAACGTCAAATATGGTATACATGCTGGGATAGGCTAAAAAATTAACGAATTTTTAAGCGATTCATTCAACTATTCCACTTTGCTCGGAGACAACCTTAATTGAAATAGCTGTATAAAACAAATAAAGATAATACTGCCGATTAGGGAATTTTGTAAGTACTTTCTCGTGCAGAAGATTGAGTTAACTTCAACAGGGTAGAAATAGGGAAGAATCCAGGGAGCGTAGCCACTGTAGCCGCCAAATGCCACTGTAGCCGCCAAACGGCATGCGGTATATATTTTTTATACTTGGCCTGGTTTCTGAATATTTACCCCAGGTTTCTAACTCAACTCAATCAACTTTTTTCCCGGCACTATAGTCTGAATGTCGTCGATTGATTTAAAAAACTGGCTTCATTAATGCGTTTCGAAGTCGAACGGGAACGTTGGTTTTGATCAGATCACACTGCCAATCATTAGTTTAACAGAACAATGTACTGTATACTGAACGTATATAATCCCCTCATGACACAGTTCGAAGCAGAGAATTTAACAAACGAGCCATGCAATGAATGGCCTGGACATTGTGCGCGGCTATTCAGCTATCCTGGGGGCTAACATTGACTCCGCACCGTACCTGGTGGTGACAATGCAACAAAGACATAATACAGCAATTATTTATTCGTAGTCAAACTTCCTAAGCAACATTGCCCAATACGAACTACACTATTGTTTAAATGTACTGTAGCTTTAGCATGCAAAAGTGGTGTGAATTTCATGGACAGTGTATGGAACTACTAGAACGACTATCTAATGAGTGATAGATAATTTGATAGGGTTAAATATTCTGGTATATGAGCTACGATTGTATCAAATTGTCGTGTGAATATCATTTCCTGTGAATGAGTTACGAATCGCAAATCATTGAAATGGGAAATTCTGTATTTGTGCCTTGGGCGTCTTCACATGATCCCCTACAAAACTTCATTGAATGTAATAATAATTATATTCTGTACGTGGTGTAAACATATTCCTGCTAACCCTATTTACAACACTAAGTATCAATTCTGCTTCTTTTTCAACATAGTGACGAATCAAAGACAATCTTCAGGAAACAATCAAGGTAACCCAGATGGCGGTCGCTTGACAGATGACTGTGATACATCTGCAATATCTGGCTTTGGAAGCTCAAAGACATTCCAAGTCAATGGTTTAGTATCTAACACCAACCCTGGCACATCTTTCAGTAAAGAAATTCAGAATGATTTACTTTCTAACACAGGTTCTGATTCTACGCATGCTAACAACGTGAACATTGACTTGTTGTCTACCGATGTTACTAAATGTGATAGCAGCTTGTCAGCTAATACCAACTCTAAATCGAATGGTCAATCTGGACATAACATCGAGCAGAAGCACAGAGATTCGCGAAATCTCCCAAGTTCTCTTGTGGGTAACTTGGTGGACCTTACAGATGTAGAGGTGTCTTCTAAATCTTCTATTTTAAATGGAGTAGATTTGTTGGGTGACGTTGGGTCGCAGCCAGATATACCCCCGCCTGATATTACCAATGGTATCACGAATACAAGGACTTATCAAAACGATTTACTGAGTGATATGGGCTCTTATAGTGTCAATTTACCGAACAGTTTACACCAGGATCTTTTATTATTGGATATCAACAATCCTATTGATAACTGTCATAGACCAAACTCGAATTGTGGTCAGACATTGCCTGACAATACGAGTGACAAAAACATATTGAATAAGGAATCTGGTGAAGAATTATCAGCTGTATGTGATAATGTTCACGCTTCTGGCAGTAATCTTATAAACATGCCTCCATATGCTTCATCATATAGTGATACTGAAAATTCGCTTATAGACCTAACAACTGAGGACACGAAACCAGAAATTCCAGCCTCGTTGATAGGCAGCGCTAGTGCAGTTGGATTCCCTGCAGAAAGTACCAAAGGACATTCAATTAATCAAAGTTTGCTTGAAGAGGACTACAAAGGAAACGGTTTCAATGTAGAAAGATCAGACCATGTTTTTTCTGATGAAAACATTCAAAGAACTTCTACAAACCAAACACTGATGGATCGAGAAACCGTTCCTCTAAATAAAACGGAGGTCTCAACGGGCGTCCCAGGGATAAACCCCTGCGATATTGATACTAGAACTGATGAATACAATGCAACCTCTGACGATATTACGCATGCTGCTATTTCTAATATTCCTAATTTAAGTGAAGAAGGCGAACCCTCCCTTCTCTTCTTGCAAGACCATTTTGGGAATTCTGAGTTGGCAAGAGACATAATAAATAATGTAAATACTCCAGTCTATGTAAATAATGAAAATAATACTCTTGAGACAAATAATGGTCAAAATATTGACGAGATGAACGGCAGACAAGAGACACCAGCAGAAACCATTCCTGTGGCTCAAGATGCTGTAACTGAAGCATCAGATGAACTTTCTCCCATGGGAAATAGTTACGAAGTACTCGAATCTGAACAACCATTCCAGCTTGGTTACACCGCACCTCCATGGCTGCCCGATACCGATGTCAACAGATGTATGAGCTGTCAGTGTAAATTTACTGTGGTCAAACGACGCCATCATTGTCGAGCTTGTGGAAAGGTATATTTCTTTTTAGTTCTAATACACCAAATGTACGAAACAACAACTGCTAAAACAACAACAGCAGCAGCAGCAACAACAACAACAACAACAACAACAACAACAACAACAACAACAACAACAACAACAACAACAACAACAACAACAACAACAACGACGACCACAACAACAACGATAGCAAGAGCAACAGCAAGAGCAACAGCAGTAGCAACAACAACAACAGCATCAACAACAACAACAACAACAACAACAACAACAACAACAACAACAACAACAACAACAACGATAGCAAGAGCAACAGCAAGAGCAACAGCAGTAGCAACAACAACAACAGCAACAACAACAACGACAGCAACAACAACAACGACAGCAAGAGCAACAGCAGGAGCAACAACAACAACAACAACAACAACAACAACAACGGCAACAACAATCACGACGACGACGTGAAATAAAAACGGCAAGGACGAAGACAATGACAAACAAAAATGTTTGCCTCATTAAAGAGGCAAATTTAACCCCAGTTAAACGACCAAAACCGATCTCAGGAGAAGAAAAAAAAACTGTATTGTAAATACAAGTTTAAAAGTATTAATTGCAGTGAAACATCACTATACAGTATGTTGAAACACCAGAACCCTTTTAATGACTTTATATTTTTAGATATATTGTTCATCCTGTTGCAATTTGAAGTTCAATCTTCAGTACCTGGAGGACAAATTAGCGCGAGTTTGTCAAGCATGTGCGAATATTCTTTTACAGCGTAAGTTCTTTACTTATTCAAAACTAACTAAAAACCACTGTAGTTTCTGTATTGCTCACTTCTCTCTTGTTTATTTTTACAATCCAGGACAGGCAGCTTTAGCCAATCAACCTACTTCAATATCCGACAATGATGAAGCAGGGATGTATCTTTATCTTAATCCTCATGATCAGCCTGAACCACCAGGTAATTTATGCTTTGCCAAAGAGAGTTTTTAAAAAATGTTGTTGAATTCTATCATTTTCTTTACATTTTGTTTACAAAGGATGTCTATCTTATAGTTAGGTTAGGTTATCTGAAACATAAGAACAAAGTTTCCAGCGAAGGCACTTCTTCTGGAACTTAGCAGCGTTACGCTACTAGCCTTAAAGGATTAGTGTCGCACCATGATATCGCGGGCTTCTGTTATTGCTTATATTTTATACAAAATCAACAAATAATGATAAAAATACCTTGTTTCGTACATTTCCAGTAAGAATCAGATAAAAGAAGCAAGGATTCTCAAAGGATGGTTTAAGTGTACGACGGATTACAAAAATCTTTTCCAGATTTATTGATCTACTCGGCCCATAGAATGACCACCAGCAGGAATTTGATAACAATTTCAATAACTATTTTATTATACATTGCATTTTCATTAATAAATAATAACTCTTTCGGCAAACATACAATGATTTGTCGCACAAGACAACGTTTGGTCCTCAAAAAAAGCAATGCAAACGATTTAAAATATCACAATAACAGCATAAAAATAAGAGAAAACTCATTTGGAGTTCCGATAAAAATGTCAAAAAGTCTGCTTTTTGCATAAAAAAACATTCACTAAAACGCCGTTTGTTCATGTTGTTCTTTCTTGTTTTTATTCGTATACGTAAATCTCTACTAGCAGATAACTGTGTTATGTGTTGGTTGCGTGATTTCCATATTTAACTATAAGCTATACTGGCAGAAGACACATGGTGACTACAATGTGTAACAATAAAGTCTATTTTCTTATTCTTCTTTGTCCATACAGATTTTCTCGTCTCAAAGGCATTAAAGTTTTGCCTATATATTTATTATACTTCACTGGAAACGTCGAAATGTCTTTTTAGGCTGCCAAGTACAAGAAAAAGTTTTCCATTCGTCGTCACTTGTACTCATATATATATACTCTATTTTTTCTCTTCTCCAGGTGACATTCCAGTTGAACAAAACGTGGAAGATGTTGTCTCTCAAACTGAACAACCACCTGATTACGAAGAAACTGAAGTTCAAACTCCCATGCCTGTCGAGATGGCCTCCGTTGTTCCAGTGTTTACAGAAGATGCTATGACTGAGTCTACATCACAAGTGACGCAGTTTAGACCATCAACATGTTCTAGTAGTTCTAGTTTATCCAGTGCTGACATTCCAGTGACTTCAACTATTCCTTTGCCACCGTTATTAAAAAAGACTGATGAAGGTACAAAACAATCTTTAGTATTGTTATGGTTTAGAATAGATTTAGAGTAGATAGAAAACTTTATTAATGTGGCCATCTAGGCTATAATTTCCACGTGGCACGTGTACCAATATACATGTATAAACGCACATGATCTAGTAAAAGGAGTAATGAAAAACTATTTACAGTACCGGACTTAAGTTACTCGTGACGCTGGTTATATACATCTCCATTGGGTTTTGGAAATGCATTGTTTGGACATGCGCTGGTTACATCTCGATTGGATTTTGGAAACGCATTGTTGTATGGACTTATTGGACTATCAAGTACCCTCCTAGAGCGAATCCAGAAAGTAAACAAAATGCAGCAGCACGGATTGTCACCTTATCGATGGGAAAAGAGATCACATATAACCAGTGCTGATTTTATCTAATCTAAATCTATAATTACTGACTATATTTGAATAATTTACCTTTTATAGGGTTTTATTTGTAAATAATTTACTTCTAAAGTACGTGTTATATATACAAAACGTATTTTACAAGTAAATCATGTACAAATAAAACCCTAACAGTTAAATTATTCAAATATAGTAGACTGGAGAATGTAAAGCACCTCGGGAGATTTATTGAAGACGCACAATATAAGAACGAAATATTATTATTAAATAGATGTTTATACAAAAATCGGCAAGTCTATATTCGCTCCATGGGCTATTTTGCACCACTAACATTTGTTTGTGTTTCTAGGTTTAAAAATTGATGATTCACCAAACCACCAAGACCTTTTGTACCTTTTGAAAAGTAAGTACATATATAGTAAAATATTGATGTTGGCGCCAGTGTATATAAGGTAACGAAAGCTACGGTGGTCTAGAAAACAAAAAATGCGAGTTATAAGAATACGAATATTTCGTTGTTCTCTGCAGTATCAGTATAATATGAAACTACAGTTTTTCATTTCTTAATAAATAGAAATGTCTGATGCAGCTACCTTAAAATTGAGGAAAGATAAGAAAACTACATGAGGGAACGTTAAAGCAATCTTTATTTTTCAGGCGTAGTTGCATCATATACCCAAGCCCACAAATTGCATACTTTTAATCAGTTTTAATATATGTTATAGTGTTCAATGTTATAGCAATGTATGGCCAGTTTAGATTATCTTCGCTGTATTCTCCATCGAGAATATATCAATATACCGATATGTTAACTAGCAAAATGACTGTGCTAATTATTATTGACCTTTGGGCGGATCTACCATGGGGGTGCAGGGGGGTGCGCACCCCACCTAGTGGTGTCTAACATACCCCCCCCCCCTAGAGAAGTCCGGCACCACCCTAAAAAATCTACTTGACCATACATGTTCGACTTTTCGAATAGCGATTAGCGATTAACGGAACTTCTACTGTTAGTAAAACACAAAACAGTTAGTAGAAGTTCAAAAAAGTAAAACGGTTTTTTTCTTTTATTCTACTGTTAGCGCGTGTTGATTTCTTGAAATGATTTAATTGATTTGTGAACTCAAGAGAAAATGCTTTAGTTACTGTAAATATCATGGTTAAATATGTAAACATGTCAAGATTGTTTTAAGCCATATTTTCAATTATACTGTGCTTTAACTACAGCAGCTGTCTAGTCACACATTGGTGATAAAAAGTCGATATAAACTTTATAAACAAAATATAATGTAAAACGTAACAGAGCGGGGAACATGCAGATTTCAAATAATGGTAATGTTGGGGTAGTAGCGTCGCAGATTGCAGAGGAGAGTGGGCAGTAAGGCTCCCTCATGCACCACCCAGTGAACTCTATGTAAACTGGAACGATAACTCAGGGGGATTGAAGCCAATGCATTTTAGTTTTTCTGAGTTTTGAGTTTTTCTGAGTTTTTGATGCTTTATATGAAACTGAAGCTATTGAAAAACGCTATTTGGTGTAGAAATTTCACGACTTTGACTAAAAGGAAATATTTAAAAAACTACAAAAATAATTGCCGTTGTTTTGCCGAATGGCAGTTGTTTTTGTATTTTTAAATTATTTTGCTTTTCACTGAAGTCTTGAAATTTCCACACCAAATAGCAATTTTCAATAGCTTCAGTTTGATATATTGCCCAACGTTTGGGATCAAGTATTTCAGCTCAAAACTCTTTTGAGAAAAATATTTTGGCTTCAGCGAATCATAGGCTTTATCATATATAGGAGACTAGAAGTTATCGTTCCAATTTGCAAAGAGTTCACTGGCACCACCCCATGGAAAACCTGCACCCCTCCTTGCAGACGAGGCTTAGATTCGCCCTTGACCGTTGTCAGAATTAGCCATATACTATAGCACAGCGAATTGAGTGTCTAATTTGCTTGCTTTTATTGTAGAACGAAAAGAAACGGTGATGTTCCTTTTGAATAAACATTTAGTCGTTAAAGTCAAGATTGTTAAATGTAAGTAAATTTTCTTGTGACAGCGAACTATTCAATGAAGAATCTTTTAACTGTATCAGATTTTGGGCATCTACACTCGATATATAAGTGTATAGAAAGGTTTGTAGATGAAAATTTCGAGTGTCACTTTTATACATTTTATTAGACTTAACTAGGAACAGTTGCGAAAAATGAAACTATAGGCCCCCTTGCAGGTAATAGAGCAACCCGGTTATGGAGCAACCAGTCGTTAGTTTCGTAACCTAAAGTATATTTTCAATGATATTGTGATAGAGAGTCTCTTATTTTCTTGAAATTCCGCTTATACTATGAAATGTCGTATTTCAGTAAACTGTTGTGTCAAGAGAAAATGTTGGTGTTTTAGCAGTGAAGGAATGCAAGCTGCTGATCAAGAAGATATGGTAAGGATCTGGCGCAGTCACGTTGCATTATTACATCATGTCTTTCTTCCTTAAACACATACAGTAAATTACCTAACTCACTGGTCTATCTTCAGGGTTTTACACTGTAGCTAGGATTTAAGGTGTCGGGAGCTATAGTGTTTCTAAATTTCAGGGCGTGCACCTGCTATATACGCGTTTCCAGTTACATGTATGCTTACGATCGCGACCAACCATAAGGCCAACATATGCTAATATTTCCACAGGCATTACAGTGGGTTATTATAGAGACTCTTATGGGCATTTATAGCTATATTTTGACACCAGTACGGACATACTGTATCACTACATAAATATAAAATGAATATAAGAAGCAAATTCTGACTGTTGTAGGTTTAGTAAGATTCTATTTCATGAATTACCCATACTGCTTTAAATAAATGTTCAACCCGTAATGGTTTTGTTTTGCCGTCAGTACGTTAAAGTACATTGTATATAAATATTAAAAAGATACCGGATAATATAAATTTTTTACAGCTTATCTTGCCTAGTTTTTTATTCTAACCGAAACCATCTTGGATTGTTGGATGGCGGACAACTTGTTATTTTCAGTCAAAAGATTTCAAGAATAAAACAAGACATGAAAAATCGGGGAATGCAAAGTTTTATATATTAATAGTGTTAAAAATTCTTTCGTGTGATTTACACACTTTAAAGTATAATTAATGTTAAATATTGTCCGTTTCAAATTTTGGGGTGGGGGCTGCGAGCAGACTAGTGATTTTCATATTCTGACATTTTTCTTATAGGTTATACTTTTGGAGTGTGTGCCTAAAGAATCGTCAATTCCACAAGATGTTCTGTCTCACTTTAATACAGCTTTTAAATATGCTAAGCAAGGTACTGTATACTGTAGATGATATATACAGTACAGACAGTACAGTATGACATACATTAAGTAGAGTTGAAGAGACCAGGCCTTAAAATATCGGTCGGTCACGGACATTGTTCGACCCATTCATCAAATTGTCCGACGTAGAGAGGAAACCACCGGACATTCTGTCCGACCTAAGTGAAACTGAAGTTTATTGTTTGTCTGACCCTAGTGTATTGGTGTCCGACCAAACTGTAGCTTTGTCTTACGCTTTCTCCACGCACGTAAACCAAAATGTACCCTTGTCCGGAACCAGAGTTTGTATAAAAATGAACCAAAAATGAACCGAAAATGTTGCGGGGCGGCGAGTGAAATGGTGAGGTGGAAAATAGGCTCAAGTTATCGAAGTCGTACTGCTATCAATGGCAAGCAAGTTAATTTTGGCTTGGAAATATGTAAGTATGAATGACACAAATTATTTAATATCTTCACAACATTTAGTTCAGAATGAATACATTATGCTGATGTTAATTTACGTCATTCAAACTTATTTCCGACCTAAAATGAACTGAAGGTCATCGGACATATGTCCGACCCAAACTCAAAGTCATCGGACATTTTGTCAGACTGCCCTGTAAAAGATATTTTAAGGCCTGAAGAGACTCGACAAGTTAACGAATTCTGCAATGTTCCCATGGACTATAGTCAGAATGTTTAGCCCCCATTTTAGTGCAGAGGTCATATGACCTCTAATACTGTTCTGAGGACGCAAATTTCAAGCGAGTGACCGATCAATAGAGTAAACAATCCGGGGGGAGCAGGCAAATGGTTCTGTTTGTAGTACAACAGGTAGGGTAGCCGTGTGCACAGTAATTATAGTATAATTTAGAAGTTTCCTTGCTTAGCTGAGCTGCCCTTGTTAACAGGACTATTAACAAATTTACCATCCTTAGCTGATACACTAATGCACAATGTTTAAATATAGGTCACAGAGTAACAGATCTAGGATATACGATATTTGGACAGCCATTTTTGGGATCATTAAGAAATGCTGGATTTCTTTACGTCAAGTCTTCCTTCCAGGTAAAGTACAGTAAAACACTACAGATTAAGTATATGCTATCGAGCGCTACCTAGGGATATTATCAATAGTATATTAAGAGGAAAGCTGACGACTCGTATTTATACCTAAATATACTGTACTAGTGTACTGGTAAATCCTATCCTAGGTTAACTATTAATGTTTCGCATGCGATGTTTCCTGTATTACCTACCATTTTGAGTATAAGTGTTGTATTTGCCATTATACTGAACCATAATGTTAACACGCCTATTCCCCATAACACTCCTAATATAGGGGATCGCATTTTAGAGACACTACATTTCAGTACTTTTTGGAGGGAGGGAAGACGGGTGCTCCTGAACCCTCCTCTAGTGTTCGAATATCGTTGGTAACGTCGCTGAAATGCTGTCTGTTGACCATTTAGCTAGAGTATACGTTGGATGATGCTGGGTGCGTAGCGGGACCACCTGCAGGTCTAGACATTCTCCGGTACAGGTCCACTGATGACATTGGGTCTGATTCAAAGTATTTTACGTTTCCTTTCGCTTTTGAATGGCAGAAACTATATTCAAAGTACTGTTTTTCCTTTTCTTAGTGTTTAGACAATTTATTGCTGCCATCTGGTCCTCATATTTTTGGCATACTGATTCAAAGAGAAGAAGTTTCTTGGGTCCAGCTCTTCCCAATCAGACTTATTCTACGTCTTGGGGCTGAATATAGATGTGAGTGTGTTATAAACGGTAGAGGGGAAGGAGGGGAGTGACCCTTTCGCCAATATATTGAATGAATCTGTTGATTATAGACTATCCCTGTCCATTGTGGAGTGTTAGAGATCGAGAACCCTTGTACGGTGAAATTGGTCATACGATTATGGATCTTCTTGCTGTAAGTAGATTAATTTGGAAAGCAAGTGTTATATAAAAGGTGATGCCAATGTGAGGTGTATGGGAAAATATCAGGATTGTAGGTTTCTCACTTGATAGAACTAAAGATTTGTACTTCTACCGAATGAGATGCCTAAACCCCCATACACCTTACGTAAACTGGCATCACCTTGATACAATTACATGGTCTTGCGGTTAGAGCTCAACAACTGGACTTCGTAGTTCAGTTGGTTAGGGCACGCCGCCAGAATCGCAGGACCGCTGGTTCAACTCTTGCCAGATAGGCTATAGTTGCATTTTTCGCAACTGCTCCTGATTACATGTAGGTCTAAAAATGTACAAAATTGACACCTGGGATTTCCATGTACTGTACATTAAGGCAGCGTTTACACTGTACCGTTTTCGTAGCGTTCTCGTATTGTTCTTAATCCTCAAGGGAACGCAAGACAATAGTCTAGTTCTCTCGAACAATACGAGAACGCTACGAAAACGGTACAGTGTAAACGCTGCCTAACCCTCCAACATTCAATACCATTTTGTGAATTAAAGTGACCATTAATTTATTTCCATAGGTCTCCCACCTATTAGTCCCAGCCCCATTCTATTAAAATGATTACAGACATGCCATATTCCTGTTGTTTATGTAAACCTGATCTACATGACTGGATTCGATGCATATATACCGTACGACACTGTGAACGCAGTTCTTTAGTTCAATATTAATTTGCAACTTACGGCAAATGTTCTACTGATTGTTTTCAGGATTTCAAGAATTTTCAGTACACATTACCTCGAGTGACTGGAATGCATGTTCATTTGGAGGATAAGAAAGTTGTCATACAACTGCCACAAAATCGTTATGACGAAGTAAGTAATTAGTACACACTGTTGTTGCGTCCACTGGGTATGTCGCCAAAGTGTGGCAATATTGATTTACAAAATTAATTTGATCAAATAATATTATTTGCAGGCAGGGCCGGCGAAAGGTTGCGCGGGGCAAAATTTTTCCAGGGGCGTATGACGTCATAATTGTAAAACAGGAGAAGCGGTGTTTTACAGTGTATTGCATGTTATCCGGCACTGACGCAGCTCGGATAACTTGCATCAAGAAAATTTAAGGGCCTTCGTCCCTTTGGGTCCTGGGCAAAATCTCCCCCTTATCCCCCTCCCCTCGGCGGCACTGTTTGCGGACATACGCGGATAGAAGGCTTTGGAGTGTGAAAGTAAACGTGGCATTAGTCATAAACTAGCATCACAGCTTTAAATTTCATCGCCGATGAACCTTTATAACGTAACTGTTATTATTACTTCTTTCTGATTATACGTTTTTTTGCAGGTTTTAAAAGTCCTGAATGCAACAGATGAGTTCGTGATGGCATTTGAAGCGACGTTCAGTAATGTTGCCGACGCACATTTAGTCTGTATACAAGAAGGAACAAGCTATAAAACTCAGTCTATCAATTTAGAAGGGCAAGAACGGAAAGGTATTTAATAAAATGCCAATCATTGGCTATATTTGGATCATGGTTTATGGTTTATAAATAGAAACATCAAAATATGTACATGCTCTGTGATTACAACATTTTGCACCGTTTGGTACTGCCAATTACAATATACAGAAGTATTTTCTTGTATTATTAATGGTAATAATTGCATGAATATACAGTAACACCATGTCTTTTTGTAGTAACTGCTGCAAGTTTCATTGTTTTTAATGGTGCCTTGAAAACTACAACCGATGTTAAAGCAAAAGTCAGTATTGTTGAAGGTACAGTAGGGTAGCCTTTTCTCTGAAAATCTATCAATATTTCACGAGACATGAGTCTACAATATGTTTATTTCTATAAAAGATGTTTATATTTTATATTTATTTTTTTATCAGATGGAGTAATGGTTCAAATGATCAGGCAAATGAGTGAAGAAATGAGGCAAGCTATGCGTGAAATGAGTGACTTCACTATTCATACTGGATGTCCTGATACGGATGGTGTTGCAATACAACAAGTCGTATTTGAGTGGGTTTCTAAAAGAAATCTAGACACCCAAAGGTAAGATCTGCCGCATTTTCTATCGGAGAGCCTATATTTGCTACGAGAATTTTAAAATAATTATTTATCGTTGCTGTCGCTTGTGTGCCTATCTAGTGTTTCTTGGCCTGCGAACAGGTTGTCTACAGTAGGTTAGGTTTGTCCTCCCCTCACTTCCACTCTTGCAAGATTAAATGTTGAAAGAGATGCGCTATAATCTTTTATTCATAAACAACACTTTGTTTCAAATCTAAAATATCTTGGTTTTGGAAGTTTCATTCATCGTTCATGAAGAAAAAAATAACTTCGGGATGACACCGCTGCCAAGTTAAGGCAAATTAAGACACACTTGGCAATTTTTTATATGAAGACAAACATGTTTGAAACTGCTCAGCATGTTATCTTTTGATACTCAGTTATGTAAATAAGAGATAAAACCGTTTAATAGGACCTACTGTATTGACCTGATTTATTTAACGCGTCTTCTTAGTGTAGACGTTTCAGCCAATAAAGCATGCGTACAGTGAAGGTAATTTCAGATTCGCGATTTGTTTTCCCAGTAAGCAGGCATTTCTGATTAGCTGATTGATACGGTGGCCCATAAGGGCCAACCCTTCTCCGCAGAAACATGCACCTTCTCCGTACAAACGCGTTGTCATTCCATGGAAATCAAACTTCTCCGTGGAATATTGCCGTTGTTCTGTCACGGAAAGCCTTTTCTCCGTACAAACATGGATAATAAAATAAATGGATAGGAAACTAGCTGACGTGACCTAATGTTTTTACTGGGATTGATGGCGTGGCTGGGTGCCTCAACCTAGTTGAAAACCAAATTCTCAAAAACGGCATGTTTAGCAATAATACAGCTAAACATTTTAGTCAAAGAGCAAATAAATGTAACCACGCCATTCTACGATGAAAACTCTAAGTATTCCCAGTCAATTTTAGCAAATATTTCAAGCACTAAACAGTGAAAAATACATCGCAAATTTCGCAAAAATTTGTGACGCCAATTTCGTAGCTACAAATGTAAAAAAATACAAAACAAAGACGAAAAACATTTACCTTGAATACTTTGTCGTGGCTTAGGCATGTTTTTAAAACAATTAGACCAGTTTACGCTTCAAGATCACCCTTTTAAAGTGGAAAATATAGCAAAACAACAAAAATGCCGAGAACTTTGGTAACATTCGCAATACGCGTGACGTCACGTTTTTCAACAAGGATGCAGTCAATGACGTCAGAAGTTTCCAATCCATTTATTTTATTATCCATGGTACAAATATACATCTTTTCCGTGGAAACACGCAGCTTTTCCGTGGAAACACCGCAGCTTCTCCGTGGAAACGCGTAGCATTTATGTGAAAAACGATACGGTGGCCCGAACGGGGCACCTCTTCTCCGTAGAAACATGCAGCTTCTCTACTAAAACTAAACATTTTGCAGCGTGTTGAGTCCGATTGATGGTCTTACACTTGGAACAACATCGGATATCAAGATCAACACCCACTTTGATTTCTCTACGCCAAGTATCTTTAGACTACGTTGGACTGAGTTATTTTTCCTGGAACATACCGGATCCGCACGTAATCTACCAGCTCAGTTTAAACAAACAACTGCAGATATTGCCAAGGCTTGTACTGTAGCTCTACGACCTTACCTTATTAACCTCTATCAAATGGAGAGACGTCGTATTGGATTACGGGTCAATCTCAGTCCGGATATGGTAAGTGCATATAGTATCATTTTATGATACGAAATTCTCATTCAGAAGTATCCGTATAGTATAAGAAGTCCACCACCGCCAACTCCTGTGCCACAGAAAAATGTGCACATACTACAACAATGGACTATATTATGGGAAAAAGTAGTGAAGTATTGTCCAAGTACCACCATTAGTATCTGGTTATTATTCGGAATCTGGTTACCATTTTTCAACCAGTATCCGGTAGACTACTATCCGGTACCATTTGGTATCCGGCAAAATAATCTCTATCATTCGAGCTTCTGGTCGCCTTTTTCACCCTGTTTGCCATTGAATTGATAAAATGGGTACAAGGATTAAGGTTAGGATTATTAACATTGGGATTAAGGTTGGTATTAGAGAGGTTAAGATACCCCAGTTTCGGTGTACGAGTAGCATGATTTTGGTTAGCAATATTTTCGTCGATGTCTGTACCTTTACTCGTAATTAAGGTGCACATTTTTCGCATTATATCATTGTCTATTGCAAGAAAACAGAAAAAGTATGATGGAATTACAGACATCAGTAAAACAAGATGACACTACTCGTACCCGTACACCGAAACTGGGGTATCTTAACCTCTCTATTATTAGGTTTTGAATCGGCTATCTACACCTTGCAATTTAAGTTCTTTGTAGGATTGCATGGCGATAAAACATATAATACTTTTTATTTGTGGAAACACCACGTAAATATATTACCCCAAAGCTTTCGATACGTAAGCCCAGGATCTTCATCAGTGCTAATAATATGACATATTATTAGCACTGACGAAGATCCGGGCTTACGGATCGAAAGCTTTGCAGTAATAAATTTACGTGTTGTTTCCACAAACAAAAAGTATTATTACCTTGCAATTTGTCTTTTCTGGTAAAGATTAAGGTTAGGATTGGGATTGCGCTATATTATATATTATCAAAATAGGTACTCAATCCAGTTATATTCCCAGGTCAGTAGTGTAAATATATAGCCGACCGCACAATCGTACGTATGATGAAAGGTATAGAAAAATACAGTTTTAGCCTTTCTCACTCTTGACTTATCTGTCATTTTGGGGTACTTCCTCTCTCAAGTCAGAGAGTGTTGCCCCCCCCCCCCCACACATTTTTTAGCTGTGGTTGTGTCTATTAAGGCTAGTTGCTACTCAGGAAAATTATCCGTGGATTGGACCGGACAAGAAAATTTTTCTTTATTTTAAAGTCATTAGTTCCAACCCAGAGCTCACAAGACAAAGAAAAGTTTTCTTGTCCGTTCCAATCCACGGATAATTTTCCTGAGTGGAAACTAGCCTTTATGCTAAATAATAAAAATCATTTTTTCCACATTGTTTAGTTTTGTCTACATTCTCTGACGTGGGAAGACGGTGCCCCCAAAATGGCGGGTATGGTCCCGTGAGAGAAAGATTAATTCGCCTTAATTTTGCTTTAATGTTGTATAGGTTGGCTACATTATTGGTTCTCAAGGCTCGCCTCTGCCTGATGAAATGGCAACTAACTTGGATAATGAACTTGTTCCTGCAATTCACAATGCTGTGAATCCTTCAAGCAGTACTCCCTCGTCAATGGAGTTTCTTTTTAACATTGTAGAAATGTTAAGCTAACAACTTTCATGCGACGAAAAATTACGACATGCTAGAATTTACCAAAATATCATGATAGATGGAAGGCCATTTTATGTGACGTCACGGTAGCCATGTTGGTGGGCTAGAATAAAGGATTTTGATTAATCCGGTCATAGGTTACCATCACCATTGTTTCACAGTCAGTGGAGTAAACGGTTTGGAAACTCCGTGGAAGTATAATACCACGACTGATTATCCTTGTTTTGTCACGTGTGCATTGTCCAACAAACCAATATAGCAACCTGTTGATAACAAACCCTTACACTGTATATCATGTACAAGCATTACTATATATTGAACTGGGTTGATCTTGAGCATATTTTTCCATAAGTGGAAACCAACATTGTTTACGAGTTCAGTGGTATAATTCCATCGAGTTTCCCAACCTTTTGAGTCTTCAGAATGAAAATACCATTACGGCCGCTTGGTCGTGTTATAATACTATATACACATTACAATATAGCAGTTTTTGATAATCAGAAACCGCATTAAATTTTATTCCAGATAATGTAGGTTTGTGGACAAGTAGAAAACCTCAATAGCAGATATAAAGAGGACAAATTATAGACTTAAGGGCATAGACTGTATGGACTGACGGGGCATACAGTGTATGCCGCATATATTATATTTATTATAGATTGTATCTACAGTATAGGTGGTTTGCAACCTGGTGCAAGCAATCGCCAGGAATGAATATAAAAGGCAATTTTCACCATGTTGGATGCAATTTGAATTACAAATAAGGAAGTCTTGTTGTGAGATTCGTTCAACATGGCGGTGTAAGATGACGTAACTTGTATACCATATTTATGTGTGTTATTAAATAGTGGTGGACCTTAAATCTTTGCTTTATTTCATTCATGCATCTTTGTTAGTTTATCATGCAGCTAATGGAGTTTCATATACTTGGAAAATGCAAAGGTCCATCCAGTGAACATATCTCTCTCAGAGATCTCTCTCTAAACTTTTTATCATCACTTTCGTATAAATTGTCAGCGGTCAAGCCAAACACATTACACTGGATGTAGGTAACGGCACAAACCACAAACGTTAAATCTTTTTTTTGTCGAAGACAGTCGAGAAGTTCATCGTGTGACATTTTCTGTACTGATATAAAGAACTTTGAATTGAATTGAATAGCAAGGAAGAAAAGGACAAGACTGAAATATTGAGACGGAGTAAATTCAGGCAAATGATTTTACAACTTTACACAACGTTATTTTGCTTCTATTGTATATAACAACCGCAAATAAATAATGTTATTTAGAACTTCCATTTGTCCGCAGTTCTTTAATTAAGCAATTTAAACATTTTTATACAATTTATGTTGTCAACTGAATTCCACTTGCCAGCCTATATGGCCAGAAATCTTCCCGTGTAGCAATCCAAAATTCTGTCCTGGTAATTCAGCACAACCTATTATTAGTTTAGTATTTCATACACCCTTGTAAATATTCTCAGTTGTAGACAACCTCTCTACACAGTGCAATTTATCTAATATAGATAGTTATATTGATTTATACTTCCCATGTTATATCTATGTAAATAATTTTTACAGATAATACTGTGGAATTATAGGTGAGTTTTACTTTTAGTAAACGATACTGGACACAGGGCTGCAAATAAATATTTGACTTGACAGGACATTTGTCCGATCACTTTTAATTTTGGTTGGACATAACTTGAATTTGGTCGGACAAAAACCAACATCGCTACATTTGATCGGACATATATATGTATATGTCACAAGATATAATATAAGTCACGAGACAAGTATGTATAGCCATTCTGGTGCAGCGTTAAGTAAAATGCTAGAATGCCTCGTAAATTTTATTGCAAAATGCAAATTCAGTGAATTTGCAATCGGATTTTGTCACAGCAAAAAAATGTATGTGACAATTTTTTTTGTGATCGGACCAATGTCCGATCAAAATTACTTTTGCTCGGACATTTGCCAAATTTAGTCGGACATTGTCCGATGTCCGACAGTAATTTGCAGCCCTGAGACAGCAGATGGGTGGTCAACTTCGGAAACAATGTTTGCCTCCAAATACACGAAATCTACCGTTCTTATAATGAGAGTGGTAACATATCTTTACTTTATCTCTGATAAATGTCGGTTTCGTGGTTGACCATCAACTGCTGCACAGCAAGGCTTAGTATACCCACTAATACTTCCCTCTTGCATTGCAAAGTTATTAACTTCAATTAGATTGGGTTTTTTTGCAAATTGTGATGCCATTACGTCATGTACATATAGTCATAACATACATTTGCAGGACTGCAGTCGATACTAAACAGGCACACCAGCATGAAGCGCGGTCATCGTGTCTTGTAATGATTTGAAATCTGGTCTTTCCAAAGGTGCGATTTCCCAGCAAGTTTTCATCACTTCGTAAACTTCATGTGGGCAAACTTTTGGTCTTGGTAATACATTACCACCACGCACATAGCTTACTACGTCACTGTCATTTATCGCTGTATACGGTATACGACCATTTGAGAATATTTCCCAGAGAAGAACACCATATGACCATACGTCAGCAGAGTGTGTGTATTCCCCATATAATACAACCTCTGGTGGTAACCAACGCACGGGGAAACGTTGTTTTTCTTCTGGCTCCATCACGAAGAAGTTCTGGTCAGGTTTAGCCCAATGGAGGCCAAGGTTTGCAACTTTAACCTGCAAATCTTTAAACACCAGACAATTACGAGCCCGCAATTCTTGATGCACGTAACCTTTGTCCGTAAGATACTTCATTCCAGATACAATTTGCTTTGCAATTGATAATCGATCGACATTTGCAAGTTCTGTGAACGAGTCTCTTACAACAGGAGCTTTTGTTTTTCCTGTGTGGTTAAGGTCGCTTTGATCGCAGTCTTGTAAGTATTCGTCCAAGTACCCATAATTCGAGTACTCAAATAGTAAGCACAGTGGAGGTGTTTTGATGCACACTGCCATTAAACGAACGACATTTGGGTGAACTAGGTTTGCCAATTTTGAAGCTTCAAGGTCAAAATCATCTTTCACTTCCTCAGGGGGATCAGTATTCTTGAGAGCTCGAACAACAACATCAAACTCTCCTGGTGAAAATGGTAAATCTGCTGCACGACCCAGAAACATTTCTATGTGAGATCCTAAAGAAAAAAAATTATGTCAGCCATTATTTAGTTCTTTCCTGTCCATATCGATCGCATAATATTTGAACGATGCCCACTTTATTTTACTCTAACGCCAGACGAGTTTACTTGTCATATTTACTTGTCACTGAAAGGTGCTCCGATTTAAAAGAGTTATTAATCCCCCACAATACATTCACGGCTCAGCATTTTGACGTAATAAGAAATTAATTCGCAGATTGGATATCCAGTGAATTCAGAATTTTCGGATTATGGTTAGGTTAGATTAGGGTCAGTCAAATTAAGATTAGCTGAATCAACATTCGCTAAATTTTTAAATTTTTATACGTTTCGGTACGGTACGGTTGAAGTGGAAAACGGCCTTCAAGAGTGATCTATGATGCAACTGATTTTCGCGAACACAATGACATTTACATACCATTTTCTAACGTCTCGGTGTGCTCAATACTATCCCGTGGATAATGTAATGTTTCAACCCCTGGTTTTGTGTCCACTGCCTCTTTACCATTGTTACTGAATATTGGATTAGGAATGAGGTTTTCGTCTTCTCTTGCGACGGATGTTTCACGTTGCTTTGCTTTTTCTATTTTCTTATTTCTCTTGCGTCGAAAAACAATGAATAAAATAATGAAACCTGTGAGGACCAAGACACCGCCACCAGCACCCAGGATTAATTTTATATTGTCGTTCATTTTTTCTGATTTTTTCTGGTCTACGATTTCTGTAGCTAAATAGATAACAGAATAAGTAATTTTATGAGCAGTTTTTGGGAAAAAAAATGTTTATTTGATACAAACAAGAAAATATAGCCCAAACAGATTTCATAGGAAGGTTTTTTTGAATATGGTTGAACTGGATTTTGGAAATTTTGAGTGTAAATTTTATACACGTTGACAACTTCTAGTTGATTCCAACCAGAAGTTATATTGATGAGAATATCATCTAATTACAGAATCTGAGGTTTTATTTGGGTGCTTGAGCTCCGACCACACGTGACCAGATAAATTTGATATTGTACTGACGAAGCTGGTAATGCTAAACGGATCTACTGACTCGACCTTTTCAGATGTTTATATGGTTAGCACTTTTTTCCATCCAGCAAACCGCCCTATCGTTTTTGTAAAGTCGTTTCTTTTTGGATTTTTTTTATTAATTCGTTTAGGGTTAGAGTTAGGGTTGAGGTTAGGGTTAGAGTAGGGGTAGGGTTTGGGTTAGGTTAACACCTCTTCCATCTTCCAAAAATGACGTCAGGTCAGTTTGCTGGATGGAAAATAGTGCTAATCTGTTTATATATATTTATGTATATGTATATTTCAGCTCACTCCCCAACTTCCGGGGCTTTTCAGTCACCGATTACATCAAGTGTTACGTTTACGTATTACCTACTTAGTCAGTTAGTGAGACTAATTATCTTTACAACAATTGTGATATTACTTTCCTCAACTATGTCTATGTTTATCTAACCCACCCTATCAACTTTCCCTGTGAGAGGAAACCGGAGCGCCCGGAGAAAACCCACGACTTTCGGCAGAGCGTTGACTGACTCTTTTCACATGAGTCCATAGCGAGAAACGAACCCATGCACGTTCTCACAGGTGAAAGGCGCTAACTCTCACGACTGCGCCACCGAGGCCCCTGATGAAACCGTTACATTTGTGTACGATACCACTCTGGGAAATAATCTCAAAGGATTCCTCCTCCCATTTACCAGTTACTGTCTCGAGTTGCTCAGAATGGTCACTGGTCAACAACATGAAATGTATCAAAGACCAAAGAACTGCGTGTCTGCTTCTTGAACCTCACCCCATGTTATGGACTTATCCCAACCTGCTAATGCCCAGGTGTAGAACTCAGTGGCGCCGTGGTCGGGGAGACCCGTCGGAAAATTGGAAATTTGTTATGTTGTCGGAATCTCAGCATTTGAATTTACTATATGAGTAAATTGTTAAACACGTCCGAAATTATATATCAATACAATAAATTCGCGACACATGTTGACCCCTTAACCCACTAACCTAACACTAACCCTAATCTAACCCTAATCTAATCTTTATCTGCCACTAATCTAAACTTGATGACATTTTTTAAAGTTTTTTAATAATCTCTAATCTTTTTAAGACTTTACTCTTTAATAATTTCTAATTACATAATATTTTTACTTGTAAATATAGCATATACCAAATAGTTTATTCTCATACTATGTATTCCAAAGCAATTAAGTTTAATAAATGTATTCCAAAGCAATTAAATTTTGGAAATTAATGATCAAATCTTAAATCTTACCGAAATTGTCGAGGGGCATTTCACTCCAAAAAAGCGTACGGGATTTGCGGATTTTTAAAAATCCGCGGATTTTTTTAGCGGATTTTTCCCGGATTTTTTAGCGGATTTTTGAAGAGAAAATCTGTTGGATTTTCCGGATTTGTTCGGATGTTTCCGGATTTTTTGACGAAGCGTACGGGATTTTCGGATTTTTTAAAAATCCGCGGATTTTTCCCGGATTTTTAGCGAATTTTTGAAGAGAAAAATCTGTTGGATTTTCGGATTTGTTCGGATTTTTTCCGGATTTTTTGACGAAGTGTACGGGATTTTTGGAGTGAAATGCCCCTCGGAAATTGTCACGATTTCGTTTTTGAATTTCACTAAATCTTACCGAAATTGTCACGATTTCGTTTTTGAATTTCACATTTCACATTCCTGCACACTGAATAAATTCAACTGGGGGAATTTGCGTAAGTACATAGACATAGTTTTATAATTGCGAAACCCTTCAACAAAATGAATGAATGGTATATATAGACTATAGAGTGGTAAGGTAACGTTAACTTTAATGCACTGACCTGACTTTTTATTAACCGTTATAGTTGCAGGTGGCGAATTGATTTTTTCAAATTTATTTTTTGCAATGCAAACCACAGTTACGGACTTCTTCAACGATTGCAATTTTAATGTCAAAACTCCCTCTGATGAAAGCCTTTTTATTTTTGTTACTGTTGTGTCATTCAGCTTCCAACTGGAATAAAAACAAAACAAAATTTGAATAAGAACTTTAAAATGCACAATGCTCGCAGACACTGGTATTCTTTAAGAGGCAATTTTTTCTATGTTGTGTATTTGCGATGAAAAGTGATCAAACTGAAATCGCTTTGTTCTCTAGTTTATACAGTTAGCTACCTTTTTAAATGCATTTGCCGGTTGAAAAACAAAATAATAGTTAAATATTGTGAATTTAAATACAATTGTCAATGATGCTTTAAAATTGACGCCATGCATATTTTCACATCATTATATAAAGCAAAACATATTGAACTTCAGACATCATCTTTTTTTTGGCGTACCATCTAAAATCTCTTCATTTTAGCATTATACTTAAGATAAAGCACTAAATATACTTTTTATGTTTGTTTGCCGATTGAGAAACGTATCGAAAATTAGAAATTTTGAATGTAGTCATCAGGGACGCCGGAACGATAATAGGGCAAAGGGGGGCGGACGCACACCAAGGGCATCTTTACTGAAAAATTTTTTTTCACTGTAAAATTTTTTGGCGCCCCCCCCCCGTCGCCCAAAAAATTTCGGTCAGTGTACCATTTTAGGGGTCAAAAAATTTTTTCCGGACATACAAAAATTTTCCGTGAAGCCAAAAATTTTTCAGGATATCTTAAATTTTCGCCATTTCTTCAAAATATTTTTCTAAATTCCAAAAATTTCCCAAAATTTTATAAATATAAACTATAAATTACCTGAATCTCGTGATTTTCCTACAAAAAGCATCGTTGGAAATGTGATTTATCACGTATTATTTTACAACTAAAAGGGCACTTCTGCCCCCCCTAGCAAAAGGCAAGGGGGCAGCCGCCCCCCCCCTGCCCCCCCCCAGTTCCGGCGTCCCTGGTAGTCATAGCCGCAAGTGGCTGAAGTGGTTTATTAGTATAGGTAATAGCATGGTTTCGAGTGCAATTTGGATTTTAAGTTTTAATTTATACATAAACAATACCTGAGGTGAGGTACAGGATATCCTGCTGCCTGGCAACGCACACTCGCAGAATCACTGTAATTTATTTTTTTATTTTCTGGAAGTTCAGAGAACTTTAGGTTGATTCTTTTCATTCGCTCATTCTTTTCTGGAAAAAAGAGGACGAAAAGTGTTAATTACTCACCATACAACCATTAATTTGGGCGGTCACAGAGGTTAAAGCATTTTGCACAAATTGTTACTTGTTAGTTGTTAGTATTAACAACTGTGCCATGTTTTACCTGCCCTCCGAGCACAGCCTGATTTATACCGAGAATAAGGCTTGCTCTGCCGTTTTTGCGTTTGATTTTTGTTGAGCTTGCTCTGTTTCCATGTCAAAACATGTCAAAATAAAATTTACTTATATGTTTAGAATGCGTGCTATTTAGAGAACCATTCCCATGCAGTTATAGCTACATACTCGTACACAAATCCAACACCAAAAACGGCAGAGCCTTATTCACCTCTCCTTTCTCGAGGGAACTCGGGCTCTGCTCGCAGGGTATGTTTTACCCCAAGTAATCAAACCATTACAGATGGTGTACATTTAACTTACTCTGAATAATTGATACTGTAGCATTTTTTGATGTTTTGCCATCCTGTCCTTCCACACTACATGTCAAAGTTGCATTCTGCTTTACAGAAAGTTTGAGTACGGAGCGTCCTTCTCTTGTAACAACACCATCAGGAATGTGTATGTTGTCTTTTAACCACCTTATGTGTGCAAAACTAAATGTTACTTGACTGATTGTAGAAATAAATAAATAAGCAAACAATACAGAAATAAATAGTTGCTTGTCTTTTACTAACTATAACTGCAGAAATAAATAAATAAATCAATATTTAATATAAATATGTTTGCATGCACATACAGGACCGTCGCCAAGAGGATTAAGCAGGTTTGACCACAACAAAAGGGTGTGGTCTCTCGACTCTTGGGTGTGGTCATCCCAAATTGACTATTCAATTAGATGTAATTTTAGAATTGGATATAACTTTACTTCTGACAAAAATCGTGTTGGACAATAAACAATTATTGAATGAGGTTGAGTATGATATCGAGAATTATCAAGGTCAAGGTTTGTGTTATCCTCCGAAGTCGAAAGCTGAGGTGGATAACACAAACCGAGTCCTTGATAATTCTCGATATCATACGAAAACCGAATCCAATAATCGTTTTAATACAGTTTTATTATATATTCAAAAGCTAGAAAGAAAGCAACTGGAATTTTTGCGCGCCTTTTAGGAAACAATGGACCCGCGCCGGGGCTTGGTAACCACAGCGTGCAATATGGCGTCAGCAGCTGAAATAACGGGACGGCTTCAGGATACTGAGAATTATCCGACACGTTTTGATCAATGACGAACGACAATAGACTTTGAATATATATATAAATATGCTTTATTTCAAAGGAATAACATGTTCCTGTGTTAACTAGGCAATATCAACATTTTATTTGCCATTCAATTTGGCAATCATTACTTTATCATTAATATGATGTAAATTAGAAACTCAACTGCATACTTGTTTTAATTTTTTAAGTAACCGCATGCAGAGAAACACCGACGAAAATCACTGTTGTGGTTTGTCGACGAGGATAAAAAATATTTTGCCTGTTAATCATGATTTTTACCATGCCATTTAAAGTGCCTCGTTATAACTATTCTTCTGAAATACTTCGTTTGCCAATGCCAACCGACAATATCTTTCATATCAAATTATCATTTGATGGCATTTTCTTTACTTGCCAAAAAACGACAATATGCATAATTTGACGGAAATTTTTTGGACATTGCAACAAATTATTTGTATTAAAAGTTCCCCTTTAACTAATCGTCCATTTATCGAATATTTTTCGTTTGCTGACAAATTCTTCATTTTCCGACAATTAGTGTTCAGGGGGTGTCACACCTCCAGCACCCCCTCCCTCCCCCTTAGCAACGGCCCTCGACACACCGATTGTGAAAGCCAAAATATACCAAAGGTTTTTCAATAAATTTGGTTCTGTACCCTGAAAAGTAAAAATTACCTGAATATTAGGTCTTTGCCAACAGCTACACATGTGAAATTCACCACATCACCTCGTTGTACTGTCTGGTTTTTAGGTGCCCGTATAATAACTGGTGGCCCTAGAAATCAAAATTATTGACATTTGAAAAATATGCGAAAGATTTCACGTGAATGTTTGGCCCACAAGGTTTCGATTAAAACGAAAGTTAGCAATGCATGTAGTATTTTTAGAAGGTCAAAGAACACTGATCCTAGTATAGGGTCTCTAAGGCCTCCCATTTTCAAAAATGGCTAGTTTTAAATGTAAATTGAGTTTTGGAGATTTTAGGGAAATGTTGAATTGAGAAACCCATGGCCAAAACGTGACCCAGTATACAGTCATATGAAATTACAAATTTCGAAGCAAAAACAAATTCAACCTAAACATCAGTAAATGTTATTCTAAAATTTAATATTTTCTGAGGGAGCATGCATGCTCCCGCTGGATCCCTAAAATTAGACTGCCAAATTTAATTATACTTTTTTATAACTTCTACGTTCTCAGCCTTGACCTTTCTGGAAGACGAAATACCGGTAGGTTTCTGCTATTTTACGCCAAAAATTGCCAATAAGTGTTTTTAGTTAGAGTTTCGGAATCGACATTGCTATAATGCAGGAAATGTCCCCAACTTTATTTTAAGTATTTCACATCGATCGTTTATGTAAATTACAACTCCTTTGTTGACTTACCTTTAACGTTTATGTAAATATCTCTTGTTGTATCACCAGCGGTATTCAATACTTTACATGTGATCACTGTATCTTCTACGAACATTTTAGTATGTTTTATTTGGCATCCAACATTCTGATCACAATTTCTTCTCTTGAGCTCTTTATTTTTCTCTCGAAACCTGTGTATTTATAAGCATTAAAACGTAAAGAAAATGTATGACCAATGCGCGTATGAATTATGCATTCTAGTCATTCTGAGTCGGAATAAAATTGCAATTCAATCATTAGCATATGCTGTCCTCTGGTAAAATAAGAGGTGGACTTAAGGGAATATTTTGTTACTTGATGCCACAAAAACTGGGACATTTTTCTTATTAATAACAACAGGAGAAAAACCGGACTGTTATTTTCTTTCTCTAAAATTATAATCCTTTCAGACCTTTCTCCCCCATTCACTTATTTCTTCATAGTTACATTCTAGCGTTTATAACACCCTAATTGGGAATTTGATTCACTCCTTTGTTCTTCTATTTCGCATACATTTCTACTTATTTCTTTCTATTTTCTTCATTATGTTGTTCCGCTCCTTTCCCTTCCCAGGTTCACAATATGTTACTTACGAAATTGTCATTGGAGCCAGTCCTTCTGCTTCGCAATGTAATTTAATTTTTTCACCAACAGATACTGTTTGGTTTTTTGTCATCTTTGTAATGAGAGGAATTTCTATAAAACAAAATCAAATTTGTATTAATGAAAATTGCACCTGTTTTTGGAAGAACTTCTATCTCTGAACTTCTATCTCTGAACTTCTATGGCCCTATAAGCTAACTAAAAACAATGACGTTTAGCACTTTGGTGATTTAGAAGCAGAAATCAAGAATCCCAAACATTTAAAACATAGCAAGATATAAAAGTGACATGCATTACAAATAAAATGGAAATATAATGTACATGCTTTGTAGCAAACTGGTCAAAATTTTTCCAAGAGTAAAAATGCCCCACGCCGTCTGGCTATGTCACCGACTAAAGCCTGATTTCCACTAAGCGGAATTTTGCGCGCGCAGCGGAAATTTTTTTTGTCTTTTCTAATTAGTTCCACCTGAGAAAATCACTAAACAAAGAAAAATTCCGCTCCGCGCGCAAAATTCCGCCTAGTGGAAATCAGGCTTAAAAGACAGTGTTATGGAGCATGTTTCCCAAAAGTAGGCAATCAAAATTGGAGAATGTATTCGCACGGGGAAATTAACACTCAAGCATTTATCGCAATGTGCCAATGTTTCATAGTTTGCCTGAGGCCAATCTCGTTCCCCGAGCCTGCGATCCACGGGGAGGAACGCGAGGCTCTGGGATAATCCGTTTCAGGGAGGAATCTGATTGGTCATTGAAATGGAATGCGTTGTTCAATCTTAGCCAGGATTCTTGGCTTCCGGTAACGGATTATCCTAGAGCCTTCGATTCCTTCCCGAGGATCGCAGGCTCGGGGAACGAGATTGGCCTGAGGCTTGAAATTTCATTCAAATTTTAAACAATGCAAAAATAAACCACCATCCCATTCTCAACGAGAAAGCTCGGTGATGTCAACATGAAGACACTGGCTGCAGTACTTACTTCTGTCCTCAATAACAAGTGATCCATGTGCTTCAATTGGTGGCCCAAAACCGTTGGAAGCTTTGCAGCTGTACCTCCCTTGGTCAGATTTGTTGACTTTCGTTATAGTCAGCAATGCCTTGAAAGGACGTTTTGTAATAATAACATTCTTATCTGATGATAGGCTTCGTGAATCTTTTCTCCAGGTAATCACAGGTTCAGGCGTGCCATCCACTTCACATTGCAATATCACTAGGTCACCAGCAATAGCAGTCACGTTTAAAACAGTGCTTTTAAATTTTGGACGGCTTTTCCAAGTGGTTGGTTTCTCTAACAATTGATTGAAAAACAATGTTAAAGCAATTAAAATATTCCCCTTGTAGCAAGTTGTATCAACACACTAGCACACTAGTACTAGTTGCATCTTTCAACAAACTTCGTAAACAATTAATTTGATTGGTTATCAGTTGCACATGAGTATGGTTGCAGCTTGCCCAATATGTGAAATATTAAGTACCTGTTGTTGGAAATGAAATGTTGTAAGTTGCGAAAAAACCTCTATAGCCCAATGAAACATCCGAATAAAATCCCATGTGAATATAATTGGAAGATGAAGTAAAGGGCGCGGGCCTTGCAGAGCAATATCGTCCAACCAACCGCGCCCTGTCATTCTCACCGTCGTACAATAATAAGTAATCGGCTCGACAACTGGGACTTTTTTCCACGACAAAATCTTTGAAAGACAATTTGATTTTCTTTCCCACCGGAGCTTTGATCGTCCATGTGCATGCGAGGTTTCCGGGGTATGTTTGGCGCGGACCATAATTGGGGGATAAGATATTGCCACTTGGAGCAGTCAAGACTGTACTACATCCTTTAATTAAAAAAAGAAAAGATAATTAGGAAAATACAGAAATTCAAGACATGAAGAAAACTTGACTTGACTTTATTCACACTCCCTTGACAGGGCTTTTCCAGGGCTTTTCAGTGACAAAATGACAACATATAAATTTACGATATCATTATTACACTAAATCAAAAATAATTTATGAGAACACAATTACGTAGCTACAACAACGACAACGACAACAGCAGCAGAAACGGCGGCAATTTAAGACCCATGCACCCAAAAATTATCATGATTAATTAATATTGATTTGAACAAATTAAATTAAAATCAAAAAGAGGAGCATGGATTCGTTATTTTCAAAGATATTCTATTCGCTGCTTATAAAGCAAGCAACCAAATTGGTCATTTATGCCAATTACATAACATTAGGTTGTCCCAATGGCAAGTGCATTGCACTGTCCTGCCTTGAAATTATGGGAAAACCTTTTCTGCGCACAATTCCCAAAGGATCGGGGTAAGCCGTGTGCGAAAAACAACTGAGCTTATTTTAAAGTTTGTATTTAGGAATTGAAAAATGTTTAATTAAATATAGCACTAAAGTACACATTTTTAATATGAAAGTTCTTTTTATTAAAAAATAAAGTGTATAATCTTACCTTTACCGCTCCTACAGAAATGAAGAAAAAGACAATAATTAGTTTCAATAAAGTAGGCTAACGTGAAATTTATAGGCCAGGTGTAGAGTAAATTTATATATTTTTACTCCACACACTGTAGAAATAACCATGTTGAGGGCTTTTTGTTAACAACGTTACATTATATAATTATAAGACAGGGAGGATTTACAAGCTGAATATCATTAAGATTTACTTTCCGTTTTTGCCTAAGGATAAATCATACAATATATAGACGCACTGTCTGGCTTCATAAGAACCCACTCCATTAAGTGGTTGTATCTGGTTTACAAGAGAAATGTCGGTTGACCAACAAGGTCTCGTATATCAGGACGAACTGGCTAATATGATAATATCAGCTTAAGCGGTATGATACAATAATTGCTTTCGAATCATTTTCATCTAAATAAAATAATTTAGAGCTTTAACCTCTTTATACTAAATTTTTATTATTTTTTTACCAATAAATCAATATTTTGCCGGCCATATCTTGAATTATTTAGTAGTTCGCCTCATAGGACATTAGAGAGGTTATATAATTGACGTTTCAAGGCCGTCGGAAGTAAATCAATATGGGGCTCAAGAATAAATCTGAATTGCTTTCAGCACCCCGCTTCCGATAGCCTGCGCGCAGACTATATAAAGTTTTCATTCATGCTTCAATTCAGCTAACAGCGAACAGTTGACCTCAAGATACGACTTGAAGTTTGCCGTTTGCGGTCTGCCGGAAACGTCAATCTTAACCTAGGTTGATCAAATAGGTTGGGGCCTGGAGGCAAGAGAAATAATGCCGAGGGATCCTCGTCCCCAGGGCCTCTCGACCGCGTGCCTGATTTTCAACTAGTAAAATTACTCTGCGGACGAAAATGCTATGGAGGTTAGGTCCTGACACACAGGCTACGTGGAGATGAATAATATACATTAAAGTATGTATAATCAAACTTACTTCGAATTGCCTGAGTTTGCACTTCGAACTGAAGCAAAACCTAAAAATATATAATAAGTTTAAATAGGTTGAATCAAATACCGTTTCATACGTGTATCACCCCACTAGTGGCCACTACCGGCCCCTGTTTTTGATTTCTTCACAACTATGACTTCATTGCCATTCAATACAATTTCAGGTATGTGTTTAATATGACTTTCTCACTGATGAAAATTCCATAACCTAGTAATGTGCAAGTGTGTACATGCGTTATATTCATTAGTTTGGCCCAAACAACCCCATACATGGAGATTTCCATACGCCAAAACTATTAAATCTGTCATTGGCAATGGGGTTCATTTAAAACAGCATTACTGAACAGCAAGTATTCAACACATTGAAAATGTATCACTCGTTGCTAAATTGCTACTGTTTGCTAAATTGTTAATCTGTTCTTTCAATTAATTAGTTATAGTGCTTTTTACGTATACAAAAGTTCTTGAACCGTTTGTCTTTGTCGGAATGTCTATAGCTATACTGATATGGGAACTGTCGGTTATTTTGCCGATAGGTACTTCTCTACCCAATATATGTTGGTTTTTTCACACGCCTGTTGGAATAATGAATAATTCATTTCGCTTAATCCATAATACCCGTTGAGTGATATAGTTGACATCAGCAATTATGGTCAATTATGCAAAAGTCAAAGACAAAGACGAAATCGTGATTAATATGACTACATGACCAAATGCATTATACACGTATTTGTTTGCAAACTGTTTATATACTGTGGTCAACACTATTACTTCAAAGCAAAACTCGTATAATATAGTATATAATTTTCAACTTTATCGGATGTGGGAGATCCACCATACTCCATACTCCTGAGGTATAATACGTAATGAAGTTCATATAACGCAGAAAGTGGAATAGATAGTCAGAATTCCATACCCAAATTTTTAAATAACAAGGAAGTTACTGTATGGTTCTACTCATGAGCGTACTGTGCATATAAATTTGTGCTATTTTTTTCTTGCTTTCCTGAAAGAAAGTTCCCTTCCAAAAATCGTGATCCATGGAAAATTGTATTCATTTTACCAAATAAAGTATAATATAGTTGCAAGTGCTATATTTTTGAAAACACTTATACATGAATAGGACCGACAAAGCTTACTGATCTTATTCTAGTTTTCGTGTGAAGTCACAAGCATCATGCTGATGGACAACTTCAAAGTTCCAATGTTTATCAGACTCAATATATTTTGTGGATACTTTTTATTATTTTCTCACCATCAAGAGCGGACATGAAAACCACTGACAGAGAATTCGACGTATAAGTATTCTTATAAAAAAATAGTGGCTTTGCAATCAATCAACTGTATCATGACAATTCAGTGAAAAAGCACTAGAATGGCAGCCATGTTCGAGGCCATGTTGATGCAATGACCGCGAGCAAATTGAATGAAAGATGACGAGGTTCTGTTATTTAGGTCCGCCGTAATATCAAGTCAAAAACCACGAATATAGACGTAGTACAGGGTTGGCTTGTTCACGTACTAATTGAAAAGAATCCAATGTTAATTGATATGATAAACCTAGCACATGGTATAAAGAACAAAGTCAAAGGCCAAGTGAAAAAAACGGAGGGACCTCACCATGAGAATATTTAACGATGTTGTGAAAAGGGCTAAACAATGTTTAATATGTCAGACAGTTGTCAACACTTCCAGTAAATCGCACGATTGCAATAAGTGGAATTACAGACATATTGAAGTCCCTTTACTCGTTAGCTGGACATGTGCCAAATATGTCATATTATAAAGTTATTTTAAAAATTTCTATTTGATGATAGCGAAGTGGTGTTCTCTATTTTCGAAATAATTTTCTGTTTCATTATACTCTATAGTCAATAAAAGAAAAATTATGTGGGGTGTTTCCTTTGTTTGTCTTACTGAACAATTAAGTGGCTGTCATGCGCTCTCAAGCCTCTGGTAATGATATTGTGTGACAAGTTATCATTTTTCAATTAGAAATGCACAAGTTGAAAATGCGCTCTGTATGTTAATTCGACATTGGCACAGGTACTTAAATTTATGGAAACACGCCTTTATCTCAGGTGGTCAATTGAGACCTTATGTGGGACCTTTCGGTTATATTTTGCGATTTTTTACCCCAATATGGCAGTAAAGAATTTGAAGTGGAAGAATAGAACAGGCATGCATGAGAGAAGAAGCGACTGTTGACCAAAAAAATCTAAAAATATAAACCATACAATGTTATTCATGTGAATCGTCTGAGCTAACCTTTAGTGCATAAGCGAAAATTCCACATACACTGCGCAGTGACGCTGGTGTGTACTAATACACTGCAATCTATTCTGGAGCCTTTTTCTTACGTAATATATGGGCAATAAGTATTTTGCAGGAATGCAACTCAAAAATGATTAATAGTTTTAAAATAGTTTTTTATAATAATTAAAAAAATGAAATAAAATTTTAAAAATAAAATCGTTTGTCTTATTTTATTCATGAGTATACAGTGTAACATAATGTATAATTATGGAGAATTAATGCTAAGTTTATTAAACATAAATTGAAAGACAATGCAATACTTACTATCACCCGCTAGAATGGGTTTTTTCAGCAATATACCAGCATTTATTTCAAATATGTACACTTATCTTATTCATGCAGTAGATTATATATCGATTGCGCTAAAACTGAGTCTACATGAGCAATGAATTCTGAATTGGGCTATGATAGAAAATTCTCGATTTTCCGAAAGCTAATCGAAATGTTCAAACCATGCCGGTTAAAAATGTCAAACCAGTTGTCACCATAGACAGGTCTGTCTACAACTATATACGGACTGGCTGTATTTATGTCTATAAACACTTAACAATAATTTTAGAATACCAGTTTAATACCAGTGTGAATAGCTTTCCAAGACAATTCGACCTACAGGCGAGCTCCAAGACCAAGTGTCAACGGAACCTTTCTACAGTCCAAGGGCAAAACACCCAACTATAGCTAAATTTTATTATCTGTGGAATAGATATGACTGATGGTGGTCCTCTTGCCCGGACTCTGGATTTTTTTGAACGAATGCTTGGACTTCAGCTTAAAATTTGCGTACGGACAATTATTAATTTGCAGTTTTCTCCAACCTGGTTTCGTTTGACAACTATTTATAGGGCCAATAGGACTTAATTAAGGGGCGAACACCAAAGTACATTGCTTCATGGCTCATCATTTATACATCAAGTGAAACAATCCAGTTATGCCCTTATATGTGCAGTATACTCACAGTATGCACGTCGCACATACACGGTTCTTTTGTATATTTTTTCTGGGCGTCAACGTTCAATAAAATCAAAACTCATTTTGGTGGAATGTTAATAAAATAAAAAAGATATGATTTCGTCTTTTTGTGCCAATTCTTTAGTATAGGGACCCATGCATATAGGCTGAAGTAATCTTTCCACTGTGAATTTTTCGTGTTGTGCTTGATGATACCATGATCAGTGATTACTGACAGAAAACAAGGTGAGTGTAATTATGAGATGGTTATCAATGGTTATTTTTGTCTTGGAAAGGCCTAATCCCTTGCCACACCTTTAATCCTTTCATCTGATCAGGGGCGTAGGAAGCATCGAAAGATTGGAGAGGCACCGGCTTCCAGGGGCACTTTTGGACATTGAAAAGGGCACCTAAAAATTTTCCCCGGAACTGTTGGCGAAAGGGGGGGGGGGGCGGGAAAGAAGAAACATTTTCTCGTTGTACTATACCGAAATTGCACGTTTTGAACCAGATTTTTTTAAAAGCATTGAAATTTCCAAACAAAAAGGCCACCTTTGATGTTAATTTAGTATTTACAGCGACATTAGCTTGTAGAAAAAGGGCACTTTTCATCACAAAAAAGGGCACTTTTGATCCTTTGAAAAAATTGGGGGCACAGGGGGCACGTGCCGACGCCCCTGCACCTGATATAATTATTTACAGGACGCCACCCACCATAATTTGAACGATTGACGTATCCAACTCATTATCTCAACGATTGATGTTCAGAAGTTCAGTTATCACCCTCTGAAATTGCAATCATGCACGCACTGGAGTTCGCCCCCAAACAAACCGAAAACAGTGTGACATTTTTCTTTATCCAACCCCAAAGAGCCCAAGAATTAGATTGAAAGTCATTTTTTACCCCAATCATTAAGTATAGCGTCTTGCAGAAACAATATTCTGTATATTTGTATGGTATATGTACTCATTGTCAAAATATAGGCCCATATGGTGTTTTTACTTTAAATTTTTTTTCTTCTGATGAATCTGGAATACAAACTTTCCAGATAGTATTCCAGATAGTTTGTTTTATCGTCTGTCTATGGCAGGCGGTTTTGATGATTGCGGCAAGAACTTTGCTTTTGCTCATTGTTAAAAATAGTCAAAACTGTCTTATATACCCAACCCGTCTTTAATATAAAAAACAATGCTCAATATAATTGATTACGCGGAACTGAGTAGGAAAGAAAGTGGAATGTATTCCATATCCATATATTTAAATAACAGGAAGTCACTGTATAGTTCTACTCGATCAAACAATGATCAATATAATTGATAACGCGAAAGTGAGCAGAAAAGAACGTGGAATATGTAACCAAGTTCCATACAGGAAGTCACTGTATGGTTCTATTCATGACTAAATAGTCAGAACGATCTTACCCAACCCGTCTTTAATAAAAAAACAATGACCAATATAGCCTAATTGATACGGGAACTGAGTAAGAACAAAAGTGGAATATATACTGTATAATCAAGATTTAAATAACAGGAAGTCACTGTATATATGGTTCTACTCATGACTATAAATCTATCAAAGCTATCTTACCCAACCCTATCTCTGATTAAGGTTGCTGCACTTTGCCTCTTATCAAGTCTAATGTAAAAAACGTATTCTGGAGTTATCAAAAATATCATCAACAGAGGAACGCCTGTCGGAAAGTAATTTATTTTAGACTGTTATAATTTTAGCAGGATGACTATTGATTACTCTAGGATGTGTTTTGAATAACTTGTGAAATAGGATCTATAGAAATTCACATAGCTTTGACAATGATGTAGGGTGGTACCCAAAACAAGCTCAGCTTACTGTTTCAATTTAGATAGAAATGTTAGATTAATTTAACTTTAACAGGAAGACCGTTGATTACTTTACGATGTGTTTTGGATAACGTCGTGAAATAGGTTGGATCCAAAGAAATTCATATAGCTTTTGACAATAATAGAGGGTGGTACCCAAAACAAGTTGGTTAAACTTATACTGCATGCATGCTGACTGTTTCGAGTCGAAATGATAGATTACTACTTTAAAACTTTAAAAGGACTGTAATTGATTACTTTACGACGTGTTTTGATTAAATCTGCGACTAAGTACAAATATTTCTAGCTTTAGCTGGTGACTAAATGTTTCAATTTAGATAGAAATTTTAGCTTTCAAAGTACAGGGTGGTATTCAAAACAAATTTCAACCTACACTATAGTATATATAGTCACTGTTTGCATAGGATATTTAGGCTAAATTACTTTATCAAGAAGAACGTGCTTGATTACTCTACGATGTGTTTTGAATATCTTCCTGAAATAAGATCTAAGTACAAAAGTTTCTAGCTTTTAACATGATACAGGATCACAAGGTGGTACCAAAAACAAACTTAAACTTATTGTGTTTCAATTTACATAAGAAATGTAGACATCCTGTTTATACAATTAAGGAACCATATATTGCACGACTGAGACAGATACATTAACCTCACAATCTAATATTTGATCACTTAATGTTCGCTGAGAAAATTACAAACAGAACTTCATTAGTTAACAATTGTACAAATATTTGCAGGCATATAAACACTGGTGCCGTGGTGGCGGTGCAGTGATATCTGGTTGCTACCTTTTCACCTTGCTATGCAATTACGTCATCACTGGCATTGGTTGAACTTTCCAATGTTATTTCTTTAATTTACGACTCAAAACTAAACTAAACCAATTTTTACAGGATAACTCTATCAAATGTAACATGTTCTTAGTTAGGGATTACTACAGGCAAAAATGGAATTACCCCCGGAGAAAACCTGTGGTCACGATTTGTAGATCCAAACAGGACGCACATAATGCACACTTCTCAAAAAATAACTGAAGTGAAATTACTGACAATCAGACAGTCTGGCAAGCACTAACTAGTAACCACTGCAGTGCCACAAACATTCAATACTTTGGAGCATAATATTATGGTATTATTGATATAAAGTTCACCTCTGACATGGCAAAAATGTCATCGTCTTAAAACTATATATTGGGGAACTAACCAATGGCAATAGGTCTGTCTCCAAATCTTCACCGTATATATACATCGTACATTAATTTAATGATGCATTGACTACAAACTTCAAGGTAATTATATGTGGGTTTCAAACAATCCCATGAGACGTTAATACAAAGGCAAGATGATTAAAACAAATATCAGGAAATCGTTTATTCAGAAAGCGGTCAGAATATCACTTTTTTACAGTGTGGACTTTGCATGTAATCAGGGACGTAGCGAAGAAGGGTAAGGGTCCAAAGATCTGATAGAATATATCAGCACAATGGGACGACAGGGGCTATATTTACTTGGGGGTAGGGGGGGTGGGGGGAGGTGGTCGGGAGAATGCTCCCCTTAGAAAATATTGAATATTTAGTAATGTAACTAAACTTTGGCATTCTTCGCTTGTGTTCACTTTTAACAACATAATATAATAAAGTAGCTTGTTTAGAAATCAGAACTGAAGCACTTTCCGAGTTTTCACTTGGCTGTGTATTAATTTCATTGCATGTGCATGAAGAATTACCGAGCACTATATGGGATTGCATGGACAATGTTAATGTTATTCACTGTCGTATTTAGACTAGTGTAGACAGTTTACATGAGTTTTGAACAAAGACAGTACTGTGCAATATTGAACGGTTTGTGCCCCAAACAAAGCTTCGGATTGATAGGTTATCGTTACCTAACGGTCTTCGACTACCGTTGGCTACTAGCTTCCCTGCTAGCTTCCCAACGAAGGCCTTCGTTCCAAACGTCGAAATTTTCTTAAGTACAATACAATACCGAAGCTTAATTATAGTACAATACAAGACAATACAATACCATGTACATTATCATTTATCAGAAAACAATTTTACTTTGCTTTACATATTTTAGTAAACTATATCCTTCTCCTGCTCAACTAAACCGATTCAAGTTCACCCCACTATGCAATTTCAAGAAAGTTCAAATTCAACCCCATGCAGTTTAAAAACAGTCCTCTTAAAAATCTTAACGACTTAATAAGTATAAATTAACTCGACTTTTGTATGGAATGGGTGGCTTCTCATTGCCCTATATAATTATGGCATTGACAACACAACTGCCATGCCAATATAGTGGTGAGGAAAAGTCCGGCGGTGTCATCAGTTTCAATGAAACACGCTAAGACATCAGAGCCAATATATTAAGGATACTGAAACCACAATTATACACTAAATCAGTTGGCGCCAAATGTGAGATTGATATTTCAGGCGGTTTCTAATCCTAATGAATGCTGAAAAGCTTTCTTTGTGTAAAGCACAAACGAAATAAACGAAGCATGACCAGATATTGGATTAATCACAGACAATGTTTTGTAATCAAAACAATCACACATCCAATGACACGAAATAAGTCGTAGACAAACAAAAACGAAAAAATATGTGTATACACAATAACAATTAAAAGAAATTACGGCGAACCAAGGCTAGCATAGTTAAATGAACATTAATATACGTTTAATCACGGTCAATAAATAATACTTTGAGTGTACTGTCACAAATTGGAAAAGGTTCAGCAGCACACCAAGTGACAGATGACCCACAAGAGTGCGAGGCATTCGTTAAGAGGGTTTTTAAAAAGCTTAAACCGAATCAAAGGTGCTAAATAAACAATTTCAATACAGTAAGCTTAATATTTACTGCATGTTGATGTCTGTAAGATGTTTTTAATATAAATAACCAGTCTCAGTAGACTAGAAAAAGGGTAAACATTAGTATGTTGGGAGATCGAATGAAAATTCAAGTTGCTTACAAGCTATTACCCAAGCTCGAGTATATACCGAAAAGTGTTCCCATCACATGTTTAGACGTGACCACCGAGCGTTACTAATTTTCTTTCAGTCATATCAATGTTCTTAGACAATAGGTTTAATACGTTCACTGCCTTGTCAGGCATCTTGCCTGTTGAGTAGTGCTGTATTTCTTAAATATACAGTAGTGAAAGCGATATAACATGACACGATTTTAGGCAAAATCGCGCTGAAAATTATGCTATTGACATTAATAAGGCGCAGAGCAATGCTGATCCGCACACATGCATGAAACGTGTAGTTGCGCACACTCGAATAACACATGAAGCAGGATACACCTGATTTTGCACTGACTAGAATACCTAGCCTATACGTCATAAACTTCAGCAACCTATAAATACCTATGATGACTGTACGAGGGATAACAACTGCAGTGCATACTATCGTTCCTCTTCACTAAGATTTATTATGAATACATATATTGCGGACGTCAACAAACCGCTATAGTACGAGAATATATGTACTAAATTCTTACTATTTCTCACATCTACATGACCTTGGAATACACAACTCATGCTATTTAACGGTTGTGAAAGAGACTATCTATTGTATATCGATTATCGTTGCACCTCTTTGTGGTTCATCATGAAATTAAAAAAATATAACTTATAATAAATAGTGTTTGCAAAGATATAAGCTTCGGGAATATAAACAAATACTAATCGATCAAACAGATACAAAATTTTCTACTTTTTTGAATCCTAATGCAGAAGTGAAATTCCAATACCTATCTTAGTTAAGATGGTACATATACAGTTATATGAAGTATATACTCATGCAAGAAACATTGCCCTACACAGCTGCGGCAGGAGCACGTCTGACGCTACCTCTTAAGGCCTAATTCCACGAGCGCTTTTTGTCGGCGAAATATTTCGCATTTCGCTGACAAAAAGCGCTCGTGGAATCAGGCCTTAAAGGCCTGATTCCACGGGCGCTTTTTCTCGGCGAAATGCGAAATATTTCGCATGTTTCTTTTGAATTGTGAGCAATCAAGTAGAAATAATTTATTCGAGTGGTCGCAATTCAAAAGAAACAGGCGAAATAATTCGCATTTCGCCGAGAAAAAGCGCCCGTGGAATCAGGCCTTAACGGACCTTACGTAACGTTTGTGCCACGGTACCGATTTTGCGAACTCAAGAATGGTTAAAAACAAATTTTATCGCAAGCACGCATCATTGTCGAATATTGCGGATAAACAAATCATAGACAGCAATATTTACACTGAACTAATCAGATATCCTTTTGGCAAAGGAGACCAGCTCGCTTCAGCATGCTTGAACAGGCCACCCCATTCACTCATCGCATGCTTGTCAGACAGATGATTGAGCAAATATTAATTAGGAATATGATCGCACAGATAAAAATTGGATAATTGATTTTTGGCGTATTTGCGTACAATGTGAAACTTTTCGCACGATCTACAATGAAAACTAAACAGCAAGTTGCCATGGACAAGTTCACACATACTTGAGAGTGAACAAGAAGTTATGGATTTGATAAAACTTATAAGTAATAACTGGTTGTTTTACGCAAAAAGCGCATTAGTTAGTGACTTAGTGCGTTCTAAAACCGCTCTAAGATTTATATAAACCACAGCAGTGAAGAGGTGTTAAGGGATTAGAATATAGAAAAGGGCACAGGATGCTTAGTTCACAGCTCGTTGGCGACCGAAGTCGTCTAATTAGTCGGGTGTCGAAAAAGCTGTCAACAGCGATTTTAGACAGAATGTGACAGAGGCATGCGAAAACCTCCGCGCGCAAACAAGTTCGGAATATTTCGAATAAACATTACTTCATGGACTTCATGATCCAGCGCATATGATATTTATAACCATTACTCTGCAAATTGTATAACTTCAACCTTCACAAAAAAAACTCTTTAAAGAGAGAGAATCTGACTCGTGCACAGAAATTGACAGAATGTGCCAGAACTCACATGCAGAAGCATGTGAAGACCTCCGCAAACAACTAAACCCTATCTTCAACAAACATTATATATACATCTTGTAATCCAGTACTTGTCAATAAAATGACAAAATGACATACATAATTGTCAACTTTATAACTTAAACTAAAATTCGGACTAAAATTGTCCACAAAAGAACTCTTCAAAGTCCATTTTGTCGGTCCCGATTCATGTGCAAGCATCCGCAAACAATTTAGAAGATTTCGAACAAACATTATTGCGTCTGCATCATTGCCATCGAGATTGCCATGCACGTATAACTTAAACTGAACACCTCCGAAACTTTAAAGAGTTGGTTGTGACTCACGCATTAAGGTGAGTCTAACAGAAATCAGTTGGCACATGAACCCATACAAAATTTGCCCCTTTTTCCCATATGAATAAACAAACTATTTCTAGAATAGAACAATCAAGATTTTCCGACCAAAGTATTCAAGAACATTGAAGAAATCAGGCATGAAAAGCAACAAAGAACTTTCGAAGAAAAACTTGCCGATGTGATAAACAGATAAAAGCGAGGGGAGAAATAAAATCTCTATACCCTCTCAAATGAAAGCGGTCCTTTTAACTTGAAAGCAAAAGGCATCAATGAGATCGGTTTCTTTTATAAGAAACGAAGAGACACGAAGGAAGTACAATTGAAGAATTAGTAATACAGTGGCGGTAATTACTAGAGACGCCTTGCTCATTCTTTAATTGAACAACGAAGTTAATGTTTTATGAACCGCGGGAGTCTGTCAAACAAAAAATGCGAAACGTTCATTTTATAAATATTGTTTTTAGGTTTGGTGTTTTTATCACGATATCATGTTTATGTGTTTTGTATTTCGCCTATTAATCTCTCCGGCTCAAAAAGGAAAGTGTTACTCCATGTGTGCGGACCAAAACAACCGAAATTATTGGCCTAATGGCTCTCCAGCTGAAATTATATTTCCCTATTGTTGTAACTTGGCATGCTTTTAAGTGAATATCAGTGTTGTTAGTATAGTTCCGTTGCCCTCAACTGATTGATTTCATGACATGACAGCATGAATTCCACTCATTGTTTCCCCTAGGCTAAGGTTAAAATATTCGACGTCTGATCATAAAATTACCGCTCTAGCCTAATCTATCTTGAGTAGTCTGCCAGTGATATTGGCAGGAAAGATGGCATCTGAGTGCACTTTGGAAAGAGCAGATTGCCAGCGTTGTCGAACGAATCTCTTATTTAAAATTCCGAGTAGGCGCAATGCATACTGTAAAATCATTATCACCTTCCTGCCAATTTCACGGTAAAGGTGTACCGTATATAGTAACTTATGTTCGATTTAAGTCACCTTTGGCCAGTGCTTATTCTCGCTTAGTTTAGTTAAAAGGCTAGATATACTGATAAGAAGGACAAATAACTACCTTCCTGCATTGATGTTGATTGTCGACAGATAACGCGCTAATCTGGCCCCTGTGGATCATAGCGATATATACGCCATATTTGCAAACCTCAGCAAATAGAGTCCGCTTTGAGCGCAATCATATAAATCAGTACTGTGTGAACTTATTTCACGATTTACACAAAAAGAAAAATCGGAGATACATGCGAGGTCAATTTAAAGTGCTGTACTTACAAGCCAAGAGAGAGATAGTTGTAAGAATCTCAACAAACAAATTGAACATCCTGAGTGTTTGTTCAATAAAACCTTCAGACGTCTTGATATTCCCACTGACAACGTCTGCGCGCAGTTCTGATTCCAATCCTTTCAGCCAAACAATTTGACGACGCTATATCAGGATGCGGTTCTCCAGATGGTATTAAACTGACTGACTTACTAAATAGGTCATGAGTTATGTTCACTAGGCTTATGGCATTATTAAAGAGCTTTCCTGCTAATATGATACTCATCTGGAACAATGTTCACAGGATCTTATTACTTGTACCTCGTACCGGATGTGACGTTTGAAGTGAAGTGAAGGGAATGACCTACATGAACAAAATACAAAGAAAAAACCACAGTTCCACACGACTGCGACAATATTTCGGTTTTACTACGAATCGATTGACAGCACGCAACACCAGAGAATCTCCTATGTGTTTTGATAATATTTATGTGAAGGACAATATAACTTGTGGCTTCTGGCAGTTTCAGTTCTATGCAAGCACTGACCGGAAGAATAACGGATCACTACATAACTTTAGCTTCTTCCGTTCAGCAGTGGACGGACACCAAATACCGTCTTTTGCCAACCCTGCTTGAACCACGACAATGATAAAATCTCCTCAGCCTTCATATAAACTCGACACGCATAAACATGCGGCTGTTTTTCAGACTGAAGATTTAATATAGCAGTGGTCAATATACATTGCCTTACTTGCACCATGAATCCATTCTTGGAAAATCGCATTGACATATACACAAAGTGATCATAGAGATATTTTCACAAGTACGTCAGGAGCAAGTGGATATTCATATAGTTTCATTTGATGACAATTTGTCTGTATCTCGATTCCGAGTTCATATTAGTGATAAGTTTTTAGATGCGTTCTGGTAGACTAGTAATTATCATTTATCAGTTTGCATAAAACACTATAGTCAAATACGAGGTTCCAACTGCCATTCTTCCGCATTCTTTGATGAGTCAATAACCTGATGAATAGGGTAATACCAAATAATATAATTATAGTATTCCTTACAAAAATTTCACTGTATTAATTAACTTCTGTGAAAGAATGTTTTTGAAACTAAAATTTCATGATTGGTGAAACTTTTGAACTGAAGCATTTCATCTTTGAAAATGTTTCTCAATTCCGTACAATTTCATATTTTTTTCACGAGCATAGCCATACAAAGGCATTCACATATAGGGAATAATACTGGTACGTTCCGTTCCCAATATCTTATAACGATTAAGTGAGGCGTGGCATAAGGGGCGATATACTAATTATGCGTACAGGATATCCGGTGAAGTTCTCGATTTTGAAATATTGCTTTCAAGTCCTCGCAGTTAGCTCCAGTCTTGCCTCGGAACAAACTGCTTAGACGTGAAATGCTGCATGTACAGTCCTCATAATTGGTCGATTTGAAATACTTGAACGGAAGAATTTCCTGCTATGGTGAAACCAAGCAATCTGCTCTAATCGAACTGAACGGTCACTCTTTCCGAGCTGTATATGTTGCGCATTAATTATTGATTCAGTTCTCAGGCTAGACAGCAGAATGTACGTTCTCTCTATCATTTTCTGTACGTTGATTGTTACCCAGTGCACAACATGGGTGATGTCCTGTTTTCAAGAGATTATCCAAAGAGGTATACCGCCTCAGATTTAACTTTTGAAGACTTATCAGAAACCCGTCGAGGCTGTTAATTTCCGGTTTGTAATCCAAAATGACTGAAAATTGCAAACTTCACAAGGCTATATTTTCCGCATTTTACAACATTTTGCAACGAAATTTTGGAATATTACTAATTTTGTGATGCTCTTTCAAGCTGTAATGAAATTTTTGTTGAGATAAAAATTTAGTCTATTACGCAAATGGTCAATTCGTACGCCATATAATTACCTATCATCCATTGTGAGAGAAAATCTTTCTCAAAAAAGTCATGACAAATTTCAATTACAATTTGTTCAGCATGAGCTCCACCTTTGAATTTACTATATGAGTAAATTCCTAAACACGTCAGAATTTATCATTATGATAAATTCGATCAGCACATTTTGAATTTATCATAATAATAAATTCGCGGCACCTAACACTAACACTAACCCTAACCCCAACCCCTAACCCTAACTTTTTCAATTTTTTAACTTTTTCAAAAATCTAACTTTTTAAACTTTTTTGCTTTTTAGAACTCTTTTAAAACTTTTTTAAAAACTATTTTTTGGAAAACTTGAAAATCTCCCAACCCTTTCGCGACCAGCCTCCCTTTTAATGCCATTACATTTATAACAAGAAGTCTTGTCTAATGCTTGTGGTTTTATGATTAACTCTATTGATAAATTCAAAATGTGCCGCGAATTTATCACTGTAATGATAAATTCAGACGTGTTTAAGAATTTACTCATATAGTAAATTCAAAGGTGGAGCTCATGTTGATTTATTTTACCTCTTCATTCAGTTAATTTACATTAATTGCATGATCACAACATCATTCAGATGAAATTTCACGGATGACAGCATCATTCAGATGACAAATCGCAATCAATAGTGGCAGATCACTTAATTCTGAAACATGCATATAGCTAATTCAGTTATTCAAAAATAAGTTTTCGACGACGACGGCTCTTGCAGTGTTTCTAAGTTTCGGGTTTTATTTTTATTTTTCTGTTTAGAACTATTGGTATACTGTAATCAACTTCACAATAAAATATGAAAGAAGGAAATGATTATTCCCAAAGCTTAATCATTTAATCTTCACGTATATATTTTAATTCAATGAAATCGTTTCCGCCAATGTCAATGAATTATAGGGATACTATTCCAGGTATTCCTGATTAGGAGTGTATCAGTACTCATATACCCGATTTATAACACCTAATTGAAACTGACTAATGAAGTTGGTCGTCAGCAGTTTTACAAAATTTGTTGGCGAGTATCGCAAATGAAATCTTTCATATATGTTGTTGAACATTCCCAAATTTTATCTCAAAACTAGTTCAAAAGGAACATTCCCAAATGTCAATAATTTTAAAATTAACTCCTTAGTAAATTAAAAATTCAAGTAGAAAATTATCGCTATACTCTAAAGTCTAAAATATTGCATGAGAAATATAATATATATTCGATTCGTGTGATTTCAAAAACCAAAAAAGTTCGTACGTCTTTCCTGGTGTTATGCACCCGTCACTCGTCAGCCGTCCCTTCATAAAAAAACTGAAAACGGACAACTGGGATTTGTAAATGATGTGTGAGTGTGTTCACATGTGCATGCCGCATGTGATGCATGTTAGCCGATCATGCAAACGTCACGTGACTGACTTTCATTGCCAGAGCCTTATTTTGCTTTGCTCAACTGAATCGATGTCTCATAAAATCATAAAGCAATACCTTTGAGTTGTGCAGGACCGTTACGGACCGTAGTAGCCATATAAGGGTACGACAATGTGTCGCAACAATAATTTCATGGAGAATATTTTTTCTTGAAGAATTACACTAGTCACTAAATTATTAGTTTGGAAGTGATACCTGATTTCGACTATATTAGTCAGTGGCGTAACGCTCATTGGGTAGGGTTAGTTCAAAAACTAAGGGGCCCCGACTGAGTCATCTTCAGCCACGGCCTATCGCCCAGAAAATTAGAAAACGTAAAAAATTCAGGTTAAGAATCAATGGAAAAATGCAAAATTAATAATGATAAATAATAAAGCCTCCATCCTCCGAATAAAACCGAAAAGTTATTCCTATTAGTTGTTGGAGACTGTTATTATTTTGGTTATAGACACGGAATTTTCCAGAACATTCTACTACATTCAATTTATAGTATCTTAATTAGTCAAACAATGACAACAGGTCAACAGGGGCCCCCACACCAAATGTGCCCAAGGGCCCACTCTACCTCCGTTACGCCATTGGATGTTTTCGATCTAGTTTATTGTTAATCAGCCTAGCTGTTGTATCAGTTAAACTTAAAGGCATCACAACGATGTCAGGGGTTGTGGGTTAACTGAATTTATCCAACTGGCAGCTGATTTATTTTGTGAGTTTCTGCATGTCTATTTATTTCAAAACTTTACTGAGAAAATACAACTTCTGTTGAACCACAGTTAATAGACTAAAGGCAAGCCGTGTTTCTAGAAATATCTCAATCTTCATAACAAGCTGTTGGGAAAATATATTTAATGCTTTTGTTAACTTAGAAAGAATGCATGAGGAAGTATCGTGAGGTAGTTCAAAACTATCAGATTTCGTTCAAATTTTGCCTCCCAGCGATTGTCGTCCATTGCTCGCATTGGCCTCGGAATCGGATAGATTAACGGCTGCGCACCCGCAATGTTAATAGAGACCTTACGATTTTAGGACGGCAACGCGACGGAGACGGCCAAAACAAACTCCTTCAAATAAATGGTAGTAAAGATAGTTCGTCGTATATTATCAATCGTATGAATTTAATACAGTTTTAGAAGTTGAAGACATGGGTTTTATGGTTGAGAAGAGTTCTACTAAACCCAGTTTGAAGCTGCACTTGTTGTGGCTTGGAATGCAGCCGTTGTATGAAGACGTGAAAATCTGTGATTTAGCGTCGTAAACAGAGCGAGGACAATGTCTAAATTATTCATAAATTGTAATTACTCAATTCTTTTCAATGATCTATTGTATTGGTAGCCGTTGCCTTCGCGTTGCCGTCCTAAAGTCGTATGGTCTCTAATAACGTGGCTATACCGCGGCCTATACGGCCTGGTGTGCTAAATTAAAATTAGTTATGAGTTTCAAAATACTATATGTAAATATGTGCATGAACTCGCCATGAAGTCACATTTAAAAATATTAGTGAGTAAGTTTTGGAGGTACGGGGAAAAAAAGATTATAGTTTTGCACTGCATGCATACGTATTAAAAAAGTTGTTTTTCAGGAAACAAAAAGGGAGATATATAACTCAGGCTTCTCAGCATATACCAGCACTTTTTAACGGTATGAAACGAGGAAATTATTAATACAATACATTAATTAGGGACCACGGTTATTCCGTGACATTCAATTATAATTGAAATCGAAAACAATGTGCTTGAACGGAACTCTAAAAGTGAATTGTTCCGGTGTTTGTTGAATGATGAATATCGAGTGCATAATATTGACCAACTACGCCCAAGATGTTGATAAGCGTATAATTATATACTTCCGCCGTCACAGTAGAAATAATTTCAACAATATCAAGAAGGAATAGACCCATTTCCCAACACTCTTATTTTCTAAATCCCAATTTAATTCCCAGTCATTAAGTCAAAAGAATATCCCTGAGCAGATGTTTCACCTTTCAATAGGTCCACGATTTCGTTTTTGAATTGGCACTCGGGACATGTGAACCCGGACGGATTACAGTACAGATAACTGTACGAATTCATGCACATGGAATGAATAAATTAAACTGGGCGAATTTGCGTGTAAGGACATCGGTAGACATAGTTTTATTGGGAAACCCTACAACAAAATGAATGAATGGTATATATAGACTAGTATATAGAGTGGTAAGGTATAACGTTAACTGTAATGCACTGACCTGACTCTTTATTAACCGTTATAGTTGCAGATGATATGTTTGTTCCAAAATTATTTCAATTCTTGCAATGCAAACCACAGTTACGGACTTCTTCAATGATTGCAATTTTAATGTCGAAACTCCCTCTGATGAAAGCCTTGTTACTTTTGTGTCATTCAGCTTCCAACGGGAATAGAAACAAAAAAATGTTTGAATAAGGACACTTTAAAATGCACAATGCTCGCAGACACTGGTATTTTTTTCTATGTCGCGTATTTGCCATCAAAAGTGATCAAAACTGAAAATTGTTTAGGCGTACCGTCAAAATTGTTGTGTTTTAGCTTTGTTCTCAGTTCTCTAGTTTATACAGTTAGCTATGAATTGTTTTAGCGGACAAAATATCTGAAATGTATCAATCGAGTATGCACTATAAATTGATGGGGTGGGGGGGGGGGGCAAGGGTACTTTGTTGTCTTTCTCAGGTTTCTTCGTTTCATCGGTAAACGTCGTTATCGTTCTTACCTCTTCGTACCGCTTCGCAAACTTCGTGAACCATCGTAAGACGCTCGTCATGTTTCGTAATGCCTTGCAATGATTTCCATAGTCCGTTTAAAAGCTCTAATTAAAAGTCAGTAAAATGTGTGTGTGTGTTAACATCGAATTCTGCTATCTAGAAAATCGTTAAATGGTTTCAGACTTTGTTACGCTTCTGTGTTTCTAAAAATCGTGAAAATGAAATTTTGTTTTTCGTGACTTCGTGAAATCGAAAAATAATCTTCGTGATTTCGTGACGAACCCCCTTGCCACTCCCCCTTGCCCCCCCCCCCTCCCCTCCCCTCCCCTCATTGATATTATGTGCTACACATTGATGTTATGTGCAAATACATCAATGTCATAAACTGATACAACTAAAAGATAAACCGATACAACCAAAAGATAAACTGATACAACTAAAAGATGAGGAAGCGGAAGTAAATCGGAAAAACGGAATTAGAGCGATGCGCCAACATACAACAAAATACAGAAAACGTTTCGTGAATTGGTCGATTTAATAATAAATAAGAAATGCTCAACAAAGACAAAGTCGCACTCATTGTGACTGGCCAGACTTTTATTGTCGTAGATTAGAAGAGTATGAAAGCACATTGAGTGTGTTAACAATAAGAATCACCGAATAATACACACATTACTTATGCACAGACGCATTATTTGGTACAGGCGAATTCTGAGTCGTGGTATTCGGAGACGAGAATTCAGTTCTTCGGATAACGATGTAAACTGCTGCACTAAACAAGTCGCTCTACTTCCGTTTTTCTAATTTACTTTCGCTTCCTCATATTTTAGTTGTATTTACTTCCGTTTCCTCATCTTTTATTTGTATTTAGTTCCGTTTCCTCATCTTTTAGTTGTATCGGCAGCCTCGTACCCAGGCGCAAATAATGTACTAAAAATAGCAACACTACAGTGTTCTTATATAGATCAGTGGCTAAGATAAGCGAGCGCGCGGGGGTGCTTGGGGAGGACCCCCCGCGCGCCCGCTCATCTTAGCCACTGATCTATATAAAAACACTGTAGTGTTGCTATTTTTAGTTAATTGCGCCTGGGTACGAGGCTGTTGTATCGGTTTATCTTTTGGTTGTATCGGTTTATCTTTTAGTTGTATCAGTTTATCAATTAGTTGTATCGGTTTACCTTTTAGTTGTATCGGTTTATGACATTGATGTATTTGTACATAATATCATTGTATAGCACATAACATCAATTTATAGCGCATAAACTCGATTGATACATTTCAGATATTTTGTCCGCTAAAAAACTTCATAGTTAGCTGCCTTTTTAAATGAATTTGCCGGTTGAAAAACAAAATAAAATAATAGTTAGATATTGTCAATTTAAATACAATAGTCAATGATGCTTCAAAATTTACGCTATACTGTTTTTACATCATTATATTATTATAAGCAAAACGTATTGAACTTCAGACATCATTTTCGATTCTCTTTAGTCTTTGGCGTAGTAGGCGTACCATGCATCCAAAATCTCTTCACTTTAGCACTACTTTACAGATAAAGTTTGTTTGCCGATTGAGAAACATATCGAAAAATAGAAATTTTGAATGTCAAGCCGCAAGTGGTGTATTATACTTGTTACAGGGTGTTGATGGGGTATATCGTGAGTTGTTATTGCTCAATTTTGGTTACCGTCAGCCGGTGAAAACTGGCTAAAAATTTTACCGTGGAGCGTGAGGAAAAAATCTACTGTTTATCGTTTCAGAACACTTTTCAGCAGATTCAAAGATTTACCGTTAAAATACAAAAATTTTTACCGTTTACTAACTATGCGGTCGCATTTGTATATATATACAAAATTCTCGATATCATACGAATAAAACCGAACTTAATAATTGTTTTATTATATATTCAAAAGTAGAAAGAAAACAACTGGAATTTTCGCGCGCTATTTTGCAAACAATGGACCGCGCCGAGGCTTGGTAACCACAGCGTTGCAATAATACTTTTTTTGAACCGAACGTCGGTCCAAAAAAGTATTATTCCACCCTGATTGTGTCAGCAGCTGAAATAACGTGACGGCTTCAAGATACCGAGAATTATCTGACGCGGTTTCAATACCAATCACGAACGAGAATAGATTTTGAATATATAATAATTAACAATTGTTATACAGTTAGTGTCAAAGTTCAATTTTTCTGTTTACTGATTGGTCAAAACCGTGTCACGTGCCGGTCCACAAAACGTCATGTTCGGCAACCGGTCCGCAATGAACCATTTATTGACCGGTCAATAATAAAATGGGTGCAATACGCATGCGTGTCAGCCATACATGAAGTTCCAAAGTTCATTTTTTAAACTTTTTACTAAACATTTATGGCGTTCCATTTATCTAGTTTTGGTTTCAAATTAAGTTCACTCCAATAACCGGTGAATTATTCATACTTTGACACTTATATACTACTGCATATAACAAAACACTTATTTACTGAAACCTCGGGAAAGCAGTGTGTTTTGTGCCACCTCGACCGCCGTTGTTGCCCTCAGCTTTGCCTCGGGCAACAACGGCGGTCTCGGGTCCACAAAGCATACTGTTTCCCTCGGTCTCAGTAAATAATTATCACTTATTTACTGATACCGAGGGAAACAGTGTGTTTTGTGGACCCGAGACCGTCGATGTTTCCCGAGGCGAAGTCACTCTCACGTGATATGCTCTCGACCAATAAAACACTAGAAAAATGCGACTTTGACTATTGGTATATAATAATATGCTTTATTTCATACGAATAACATGTTCCTGTGACCTGTACATGTGTTAACTTACAATCTTGGCCATAACTGGTTGAGACTATTTTCCCCCTATAGAAAATTCGCATATTTTTATGATAAACTCCATGTTGAATCACGTTGCCCTTCTTAAATCCCCGCTCCTCCAACTCAATTGAGCTTGTGTCATGGTATATTACCAAAAGTTGTTTCGGCGTTGTTCACAACATTGACTGGGGGGGGGGGAGAGGGAAACAAAGTTTGTTTTGTCAATGTTCAATAACTTTGTAATATTGGCTGGAATGGTCTCAAGGGTTTTGTCCAAGATTGTAGCTATAGCAGTATCAACATTTTATTTACAATTCAATTTGGCAATCATTAATTTGTCATTAATATGATGTAAATTACAGCATGAGCTCCACCTTTGAATTTACTATATTTCTTAAACACGTCTTAAACACGTATTATTATTTCTTAAACACGTCTTAAACACGTATTAATATTCTTAAACACGTCCGAATTTATCATTATGATAAATTCGCGGCTCATTTTGAATTTATTATAATAATAAATTCGCGGCACCTAACACTAACCCTAACTAACTCTTCCATCGTATAGCTGTGCACCCTGATCAGACATGAGTCATAAGGACGCTGAGCTGCGTCCTTCGCAATTCAGCTTACAATGTAGCTCTCAGCTGCAAGTAAGAATAACATAAGCACACCCCCACCCCACACACACACTTACTGACAACGACAACGGCGGCAACGTAATACCCACCCATATAGACAATTCCCATTATAGGCTAATTTTAAAACTGAAGAAGATGCAAATAAATCACCACCGCTAGAAAGAGCATACTAAAATTTGTAGTGCAAAGTTTGGTTTGCGAAATGTTGTAAAATGCGGAAAATGTAGAATTGCAAAGTTCGCAAATTTTGTATATAGAGGATATTTCACGGTGGCGCGGAAATATGACTTTTATTTTCGAGTGGTGAAAACTTTTCACCACTCGAAAATAGTGAAAACAACATTTTACGAACGAGCGCAGCGAGTGAGTAAAATATTGTTTTCAACACGAGAAAATAAAAGTCATATTTCCAAAGCCACCGTGAAATGTTCTTTTTATCATATGGCCAAAATAAATTTCATCAAGATGTTTTGTAGCTCACCGTAAGGCAATGTCTCTCCGCTCGTTTATCGAGGCCAAATAGTCGCTTTGTATTGCGTGCGGAAATCGCTACCGCATTGGGCCGAAAATGGTAGCAATTTCCGCATGCAAAACAAAAGTATGCTGACAAAATTTGCGTTATATTTTCCGCATTTTACAACATTTCGCAACCAAACTTTGCAATTTTACTTATTTTAGTATGCTCTTTCTAGTTGTGGTCATATATTTGCATCTCCTTGCTTAGTTTTAAAATTAGTCTGTAATGGGAATTGTCTATTATTGGTTTAAACAAATTAAAATCGAACAGAGGAGGATGGATTCGTTGTTTTCCAAGATATCTATTCGCTTCTTATAAAGCAAGCAACCAAATTGGTCATGCATATATGCCAATTACACAACATCAGGCTGTCCCAATGCACTGTCCTGCCTTGAAATTATGGAAAAACCTTTTCTGCACACAAATGATCAGGGTAAACCGTGTATACTAAAAGCAACGAGAAAGCTCGGTGATGTCGAAAATGAAGACACTGGCTGCAGTACTTACTTTCGTCCTCAATAACAAGTGATCCATGTGATTCAATAGGTGGCCTAAAACCGTTGGAAGCTTTGCAGCTGTACCTTCCTTGGACAGATTTGCTGACTTGCGTTATAGTCAACACTGTCTGACTTGAAATGATTTTTTGCAATAGAGAAACAAATTAATTTTTAATATGCGATTCCAAACTATCGTTCCTCGAGATCTAATATTAAAGTTGCCGCAATTGAACCTAAGATAATAAAATATCAGAATTCATTTGGTTCATTGCAGCATATCTTGTATTATATAAGTATGGATTGACACAACAGACGCAAAAGACAGACGGCAACAGGCGATTATGCATGGTATTCAAGATAGTAAAATGCCGCAAAATGTCTGCATGTGTGAAGATAATTGTCCTTGATCATGAATTGATGGAATGAGTCATTTTATTTTTATTTCTTTTATCCTCCCAAACTGCATGAGTTTACAACAATCAATGCATAAAATTGGCATATTTAATAATCATAAAATGGGCCAGGAGCGCCTTATCAGTCCTATCGTTCTATTATTGCATGTATAAATTTTAAGTATAATAATAATTCGGCAGTTCCAGATATATCTGTTATTATATAGAGTTTAGGTTACAATTTGACATCTATAGATATAGGTATTAAACTTACTTTATTATATCAATAAATTTGCATATTGATCAATGCCCAATTAAATTTGCATTTGAAGAAATTATTGTAAACTTGAGATTATAGCTTTCTTGTAACCAGTAACCTTCTTTCTTTATATTGCAAGTGGTTTGGCCAGGTTTAAGGCTCTTTCTTTTTTAGCAACCCTAAAAATATGTTGATTAAAACAATATTAATGAGTTGATGGATGGCATTTATTCAATAGTTTTTATTCAGGGTACGTACTCCGACAGGTGAATATGATGTTTGTGATGTTACTCTGAGTGTGCATCCACACCGGGCAAGCTGAAAAGTTAGCTTGGCCACGGTGGGAATCGAACCCGCGACCTTTGGGATACTAGTCCAATCATCAACTCGAACCGACTTGACCACGTATAGCTCAGTTGGCAGAGCATTGGACTAGTATCCCAAAGGTCGCGGGTTCGATTCCCACCGTGGACAAGCTAACTTTACAGCTTGCCCAGTGTGGATGCACACCCAGAGTGACATCACAAACAGTTTTCATTCATTTAAAGGCGATATTAATAAACGAAAATCAAAATTTCTTTTTTGTTGAAATTCTTTCCCCCTTTTTAATAAATAAAAATCACAAAAATCCTACTCTGGTTTAAATAAACAGATTACAAAGCCCAGTCGAATTGTAATCAAGACCCAACGTTTCGACACTCCAGTCTAGTGTCTTCATCAGAGGTCATCTAAAATTGCAATCGTGGCTTCTTAAATACCCAAGGGATGACGTCACCTGCCAATGAGATGCATATTATGCAATAGTTCCATACATTCAAGGTGTCACAGAACCAATCAAGAGAATCTTAAGTGATTGTAATATTAAGGTTGCCTTAAAACCCTATTTGACTCTATATAGGCCATATTTTCGCAAAGCCAAAAAATCCTGTTAAAACAAATCAGAAAACTCATGCTGTATATTCTATACCATGCGGTGACTGCGAGAAAGAGTATTTGGGTCAGTCTAAACGCCAATTTGGTACACGGCTATAAAAGAACATCAAAAGGCTGTTTCAACTTTAGACAAGGGAAAAGCAGCTTTAGCCGAACATGTATGTTACACCAAACACGAGATTGCGTGGAAAAACTCTAAAGTAATTACCACAAACAATCGCTATGGTCAAAGACTTTGCCTAGAAGTGTGGCATATAAATATGAGTCATCATGCTTTGAATAGGGACGACGGTGCCTATTTGCCAGAGGAATACATGCATCTCATTGGCAGGTGACGTCATCCCTTGGGGATTTAAGAAGCCACGATTGCAATTTTAGATCACCCCTGATGAAGACACTAGACTGGAGTGTCGAAACGTTGGGTCTTGATTACATTTCGACTGGGCTTTGTAATCCGTTTATTTAAACCAGAGTAGCGAGCGAAACATGAAAGACCTGGTAAATTGTGTGTTGCTATAACAAGTTGCACTTTGACCAAATCAGATAGTTGCACTATGACCAAATCAGATAGTTGCACTTTGACCAAATCAGATAGTTGCACTATGACCAAATCAGATCGTTCTTTCGCTGCAATCTTCATACAACTAGTGACGTCATGACACAAAAATACAAAATTTCCGATACCTCGGGAACGATATGAGCTGTCTTCAGCATCTTCTCCATCTTCAGCATTTTCAAGTGGTGCATAAAAATTGGGTGATATATATATATATATATATATATATATATATATATATATATATATATATATATATATATATATATATATATTGTTATGGTGCGTTATTTATGCGTCAAATATATTTTCCAATTAGGTATATTTTCAACCTTTAGGCTTCGGGGTGATTATATTAACGCTACCGTAACACAAATAGCATGAAACCTTATACCTTTTATATATTTTATTTACTTTCAACAATATGAATTAGCGTCTCTATGTTATAATAATATAGTAATCTTAATATATCAACTTATCTCTCTATTTGTTTGAGCTGAGCACAACTTTGAATCTTTATTCTTTATACTTTGTATTCCGTCTTCTTTAATAATAATTTTTCCACAATATTCCAATGTTCTTCAGTTTACTTGACGAGGCTTAATTATCTAGCCTTTTAATTATATACTTCAGCCTTTGTTGGCTTATGAAGTAATTTAGCCTAAATGGCTCTTCTCACTTCACTCTCCGCTCTCGACTCTCAGGTTGTGCTCCGCTTTTATAATAAGTTTTAGAGGAAGAAATCTGTAACTATGACTAATTTCCTCTACGCAATATGTTTGTCAAAGCAAGTTCTAGCAGTGTTTATCAACCACAAAACTATGTCCTGTTTGCGTGGTTTGTGGTACTAGGCGTTTCCCGTGGTTCGTTAATCTCTCTAAATATTTGCTTATTCATGCGAGGAAGGTTGCCTAAGGTCTTCCTCTTATAATTATAACAGTATACTGAATATATAGTATTGAATATATAGTATTGAATATATTAAATAACATGGTATAACACTGCCATGTTACAATATATATATATATATATATATATATATATATATATATATATATATATATATATATATATATATATATATATATATATATATATATATATATACAGCTAATTCAATAAAGGTTGTCCTTTGAAACCTCAAACTCTAAAACCTTAAACCTTAAACTTCAAGCGCGCAAAGCATTATGGGAGCACGATTTCAGCAGTTTACAAAGCATATATAGAACCCATTTCTTGGAGACATGATAAATATCTCCCTACAAAAACATTTCATTGACAAACAGCTGCAATAATCAACTACTAGGCTTGAATCAGTGATCCCATCATGCTTTGCGCGCTTAGAGTTTAAGGTTTAAGGTTTTAAAGTTTAAGGTTTGCAAAGGACAACCTTTATTGAATTAGCTGTATATATATATATATATATATATATATATATATATATATATATATATATATATATATATATATATATATATATATATATATATATATATATATATATATATATATATATATATATATATATATATATATATATATATACCGGGTGGGGCAAAAAAATGTACGACTGTTTGATTTACTATAACTTAAAAAGTAAAAGAGCTATTACAATCAAATAAGTCACCGTATATTCCACGATGTTTAAGTTAAATTTTGATATATGTCTTGTACCTTTTCATGCATGCAATAATGACTGAGATAACTGTGTTTAAACTTAAACAAACATTTTTGGAACCGCCGAGAATTAGCTGAAAAGGCCCTATTAAAACCATTTGAACAACCTTTACCATTTTCTTGCGATTATTGTTTCAATTAGTGGGTTGGTGTGACGAGATCAGTTGTTCTGGGTCAAAACTTTGTTCAAAGAAATCTCGACATGAGAGAGTAGCTCCAATTGATTGGGACAAGTCTATGTACGATTCACAATTTGAGAGAGGTTCATGAAGTGACTGTTACAGCATGCCGCAACTTGAAACAGCATATGATCCAAAATTCAGTCGATTGTTTGATTTCACGGGCAATACGTTGCATTCGTGTTGGAGGACATCCATTTACTAATAAATATAGACGATTGTTTTTAACAACAATTAAGCGCGAACGTACTGATCGACAATAAAGTATAATGCGTCTCAACACAAGTTATTGCATGTTGTATGTATTAATATTTAAGAGCCATTTTTAGCTAATTTCTTCAGTTCCAAAAATGTTTACA